GGAGGTCCCAAGCTGCACTTCAGAGGCCCCAGGAAGCTTTACAGAGGCCACAAGTGGCCCCAAGACGCTTGACGGAGGCCCCAAGAGGCGCATCCTGGGAATGCTCTCAGAGAGGCGCAGCCGCAGGAATGCACGACGAAGCAGGAACGCCCGCGAGAGCCGAAGAACACGCACAAAAATGTTGCCAGGGAAAGCCGAAGAGAAAATGACGAGGAGGAGGGCGATGGGCCCCGAGAAATCTGCCAATGGAGCCAAAAATCAAGCACCTTCTCTTAAAATCGGTGCCCCGAACCCTCCTGAAATCTATCCGGTGCAGATTTGCACCCCGGATCCTTTCTTGACGGTCCTGGGGCTCGAAAGCAGCCCCCGTAGGCCAAGCATGAAAACTACAAAAATCGAACCGCTCCTGCTCGCCAGAACAAATGCTGGGCCACCTCCGACCCCCACCCGACTCCAGAGGAGGGCGACGTCCCACGTCGGGCGACTGACCTCTCGGCGGTGGACAAACCTCCCTTTAGTAGACCTCCCCTTAGTGACAACGGCCTGGGACCGAAACCGACGGAGCTGGACCCGCAAAAATGACGGCCGCGACGCCCTCCCGCGAACCAAAAACAGCCAATTCACTAATCGACGTGTCAGGGTAGGAGGTCTGTCCAGCCCCGAACCTCGACCTTTCGGCGACTCCGGAGGGTGCGGTTTGAGAAGGGTGTGGTTTGGAACCCGCGCCTGGGGGAGGCGGGCGATGACCTCGACAGAGATATCCGCCGCGCACCGACGACGGCTCAGCAAAGCTTTGGCATATCGTGGTGGTCCCCAAGCCCCAACGGCGCCGATCGCCAACCACACCCCAGCGTAGTAACCGCACCCATTGCAGTCGCCAGACCTTCCTCTGGGCCAGCTTTTGGGCCAGCCCGGCCTCGCGCTCCTCTGCACCGCTCGGAGCGTTAGGCGCGGCCGCTGCCGCGCCCTCGCGCAAGCCCTCTGGGAGAAGGGCGGCTCTTCTGTTCGACACAGGGCACTTTACGAACTCAACGACGTCTGCCGTCCCTCGGCTCGCGCTCGAGCGGCACGACTGGCTCCGGCTTTCCCCGGGGATCCCTGCTTTACCTGGGCTTACCTCGATGTGCTCAGACTTGCCTGGGGATGCCTGGATGTACCTCGGCTTCTCTGCACTTGCCCTCAGCTATCTGGCTCCATCCTCACAAGACGATGGGAGAAACATCGTCGAGCCCTCAGGGCAAGGCGCGGGGGGCCCGAAGCGCGGGTAATTACCATCGCGCCCCCGCGGGTGGCCAAGCGCCCTCAGACAACGGGGCCGTGCAGTATGGCGAGGACGGTGAAGAGCAAGGATGATACGCAGAGGACGGTGACGGCGATCGCAAGGAGGAGGTTAGGGTGGGCGAGGAGGACACAGACAGAGCTGTGGAGGTGGCCGAGGCGGGGTGGTGGTGGAGCGGGACTCGGCCCCAGGGGACGCCGATTCCCAAGAAGACCCGCGAGTGCCGCGCTGCTCGTCGTGCTGGGACGCGGCACGATCAACGCTTCCCTCGGCGAAAACATCGGGACTGCTGGTCTTGTTGACGTTTTAGGCCACTGGAGGCTGGCTGGCCCTGGGGCCATCAGAAGATCAGCTGAACCCCGGGAAGTGGTCGAGATCCCCGCAGAAGGGCCCATGCCACGAAACTGCTGCGATGCAAGAACCACGACATCCGACGCTTGTTATTAGGTTTTTAAGCGGCATCCCCAGAAAACCCCACCCTTTCCCCAGGGCAGGTTTTCACCCCGAGTGGTTTTGCTGACGGTCCCAGGGCCCCGCGAAGGCCCCCAGAGGGCAACAACTGCCAAAACCCCGTCCGTCATGATTTTTGCTCACGACGCGAACGTGTCTGGGCCAACAGGGACCACGAGGCACATGAGGCCACGTGTCACGGGCGGCCAGGGGGCGCGGTTCCATGGCCCGTCCTCCTGCCCCCTCCTCCTCCTCCTCATCGGGTTCTGTCGCCGGGAGATCGCGACCTGTGGTGATGGCCCTGCTGGGGCAGCCCTTCTTTTCCTAGCCGGCGGCAGCATACGTTGATGCGTGCTGCATTCGGATAGCGTCTGCTGCGCGTTCCAGTCGTGCCGCATTGAATCACGATGCAGTAGCATCGTGTGGCCACTGCGTGGAACCCCCTAACTCAGCGTGCACGCGGAAGGGGCAGCGGATAAGCTCGGGGACGAGAGCAGGGGTGGGACCGAGTCTTTTGCCCGGACACTTGCAAGTTCAGCTGGTCAGGTACAGTCGACTACGCACTGTGCCTGCCTGCATGCCCCCCTGTGCCCGCCTGAGCCAAGGAGTCTCCTGCGGCCACTGCCAGCCCAGACTCGCGTGCGACACTCTGCCGCTCATGAGGACCAAATCCGAACCGTGGTCTGTACAGTGCAACGGCACAGCCTTTGCTGCCTCGATGCCACGCAGCCCTAGCAGCACAGGCGCACGCGGTCCAAGGGACGACGAGAGCTACCTCGAGCTCCAGGACCCGACGCGGCCGGATACCCCCCTCCTACTCCGCCTCCTCTGGATCCCCTTTGCGACGCCGCCACCCTGCCTTGGGGGGCAAGAAGATGCGGATATTTACCGCCACTTCTGATAAGCAACAAACTAACCCTAACCCTGTGGGATGGGACCTGAGTTCGGACGGCCAAACACATTAGAGATAGGGGTTCTCTTTTGCAGACGTATCCGTCGAAGCCACACACAGATCCAGGGACCTCCCTATAGAAGCTGGGGGCCTAAGCCAGGCCGCGATTTCCCTGTGCCATCCGGGTCAGGAGCTCTACTGTGCTCCACGAGCTCCCTCCCCCGGACACCTCCCGGGGTACACGTCCTCACCTGGAGCCCGCGAGGCGAGGCCGGCCGAGGCAACGGGGGGGGGATGGGCGGCATCGCTACCCCCTGCCCCTTCGGGAGCGGCCAAGAGGGGGGTGTCCAAGAGGGGGGGTGCAAATCATGACCGGCGGCATGTGCGCGGCCCAGCGGGGGGGCCAGGGAGGTAGAGAAATAAGACGAGGCGCCGCGAAATCTGGGGAAATATCATGGCCCTCGCCATGATACCCGCCCCCCCCTAGTCATCACCCCCCTCTTTTCCGCCCCCGACCCCTCCACCCCGCCGCGCAGGCCGCGGCCCGGTGCGCGCGAAGGCACCGGGCAGGCCCCCGGCCGCCGCGCGGAGGCAGCCGCGGGCCCCCGGGGGCCCCGTGCGCACTGCGGCTGCCGGTCGACGCCGCCCGCAGCGTCAGTGCGAGAAGGCCTCGGGCAGGCGCCCGGCCGCCTGGCGGGGGCCCAGACGTCGTCCGAGGTGATGTGTTCCGTCCGCGGCCGCTCCCGACCCCTGCCGTTGGAGGAGGAGGAGGGAGGAGCGAGGAGGAACCCGAGGAGGGAGGAGAGGGGGGGAGGGAGGCAGGAGGAGGAGGAGGGAGCAGGGAGGAGGAGGCAGGAGAAGCGAGCAGGGAGGGAGGAGGGAGGTGGTCGAGGAGGGGGGGGCAGGAGGAATGAAGAGGGAGGGATGAGGAGGGGAAACGCGCCCGGATTGAAACACAAAAAACAATGGGCTGTCGGGCTGTCGCGCCGGGAAACTGTCGGGCTGGCGCGCCCGCAATGGGTACGCAACAAATAGGTACGATGCCGAACGGCAAGTGCTGTCCAACATCGACAGCGGCAACTGTTGGGCAGGCGACTTCCTATCACCTCAGAGGGTCTTCCATAGCCCCCCCGAGAATGGGTAAGAGGATACGTCGCTGCCGCGTTTGTTCTGAACGCGCCCAAGTGGACGAAGCCGACACCAGGGCAAACCCGCGGCAAACCCGCGGCAAACCCTGCGCAACGAGCCCCAAATAGACGAGGCCGCCAGGCGGCACGCCCCACAGCGAGCCCACCGCGCCCCAAGCGGCGTTTGCCCTGGTGGCCGCGGCGTCCTCCCGAAGGTGCCGGGCCGCGGGCTGGAACAAACGGCGCGGCTTGACCCTGGGGTCTACTTGAAGGCTGCCGACCCCGAACAACGACCGTCGAAAAATGATCCCGCCGCAGCCTACGACGACTACGACGACTACGTCGTCGTCGACGACGACGACGAGAACGGCGACGACTACCACTACTTCCACTTCGACGACGCCTCCTGATACTACTCTTACGTCGAGCGCTACTGCGACTACACTGCGCGACCCGACTGGAAGGGTATGGACTTGTACTACAAACCTTGTACGGGCAGGCACTGAATTTCTTTATCGCGGAGGGCAGCCCAGGGGGTGATCTAGGCAAGGAAAAAAAACGCACCGCGCACAATACTGGGCAGCAGAAATCGGCCGCCGACACCCGCACCTGATTACCCAGCCGGGGCTTTGGGTGGGGTGAGGGTCAGCGCTCAGCACTAAAGAGCTCCCGAGGTTATTGCATTGACAACCTCCGCCACGGCGACACCGACAGTGAGTCCTTCTCAAAGTGGGCAAGATCGGCTGTCAGTCTCCGTCCCCGTTCCTCCCGTAGCCAGACATGCGATGGCCTGTTCTCTTCAGTGCGGGCTCGCCGGAAGTCCCGACCTCTTGCCAACGGGCCGGCTTTCCGCCCCGAGTCGCTTCGTGGCGGCCCCAGGGCCCGCCAATGGGCCCGCCGGAGCCGAAAATGCGGAGAGACCTCCGTCGGGCACGTCTCGTCTGGGTGCACCCCTTTCGCTGGCCATCGCTCGGACGTCCACTCCCTGTGTTTTTCTCGGTTTCGTGCGTGGTTTTTTCGCCAAGTGATCCAGAATGCTCCTCGATGGTCCTCGCCGAGGGAAAAACGCACACGTCCGAGCGATGCCAAGACCCCTTTCGACCACGCCGACGCCGGAGATCTCGGCGGCCGCCTCGCGGAGCTCTGGCCGCCCCCGCGCGTGGCCGGCGGCCCCCGAGGCGGCAGGGCCGGCGGCGCCCGCGCCCGCGGCGCGCAGCGGCTCGGCCTCCAGGTCGCGCGGCGCGCCGGCGGCCGGCGCTGCGACGGCGCGGCGGCGGCCGGCGAGGCGCGAGGGCGCGAGCAGGCCTGCCCAGAGGCATGCCGCCCAGAGCCCCGCGGGGCACGGAGCAAAGGACGCGGCCAGCCACTGGGCATCGCTCGGACGCCCCTTCCCTGCGTATTTTGTCGGTTTCGTGCGCGGTTTTTTTTTCGCCGAGTCAGAGAGGATGCTCCTCGATGGCCCTCGCCGAAGGAAAGATGCACACGTCCGAGCGATGCCGAGGCCAGAGACGCGCGCTGGAAGTGATCGGTGGCTGGAGAGCAGCAGCTGGGGGGCGGAAAGATACGGATACGTGTTGTCCCTGGACCTCTCTTGGGGTGCGTTCTGACCAGAATTTCGAGGCGAATCCAGCGGTGACAACGAGGATTCCCCAGGAGGACCAGGAAAGGCCGAAAACGAAGGGGGACAACACGTATCCGTATCTTTTCGTCCCCCGAAGCAGCCAGAGGCGCACGTCACGTTCCTGGAAGTGTGAGCGCCTGCTGGATTTCACCCGCCTGTGCTCTCAGCGGCCGCCCCTTCGCGGGCATGCAGGCTTGACCTTGGCCTTGTTCGGCCTCTGCGGGCCCTTTCTGCTGGGCCTCGGAGCAGTCACCCAAAAACGGCTCTAGGTGAAAAGCGGGTCCCGGGGAAGGGGTCGACGCCTCTGGGGGTCGACGTTGGGAAGAAAACATGACGTCGAGGGTCTGGGAACGGGCCTCCGCTAATATCCAGCGTCTTGGCAAACAGCAAGAGGCGGTAGGGCCCTCCCGCTCCTCCTGCTTCGAGCTTTGAGCTGCTCACCTTTGGTTCCCCGAGCGGGTGCGGTCCTTGACATCCTCCTTCTCTCCTTCTCTCCTCCTTCTCTCCTCCTTCTCTCCTCCTTCTCTCCTCCTCCTCCTCCTCCTCCTCCTCCTCCTCCTCCTCGGTCCAAAGACATGCTCGCGTCGCAGAAAGTTAGGGCTGGAAAACTTTTGGCCGTTGTCGCCCTCCGAAGTCCTCACGGTAGTTTGGGGAAGTTTTCGCGTCGCGGTGTTGGGGCCGTTTTCGAAAGTTGTGCCCAATGTGTTGAGTTTTCGATGAATTTCCGAAGCCCGTGTTGGTTTCTACCAGCTGCTACCTGAGGCCTAGGTCATGGCCTAAGTTATGGCCCAAACGCCAGACATGCTCGCGTCGTGGAACAACCAAAGTGACGCATGTTTTTGGCAGTTTCGGCCCCTGGGGGCCCTCGCCCCACTGCTGTCAAAGAACGACTCGCGATGAAAAGCCAGGGGTCCAAACTTCTGGGGACCGCGTGGGGAACAGATCGTGTCCGAAATGGCACCTTAGTGGGCGTGACCTCGGTGCTGGTCTGTGGTGCCTCCCGCGCCATTCTGGCTGCGCTGTGCCCACTTCTCCGCTCCGCGCCGGGCACCGCTCGCCTCGCTGGTGTTTTCTCTGCGTCGGCGCGGCCCGCCCTGGCTTGCACGGCGTTCGACTCGTCGTCGCGCGCCCGAGTACCTAAACCTATCATACAATATCGCCCCGACTGTACTTGGCCCCTTGTTCCCATAAGTGACGTTTTGATTGCCCATGGGGAACGAAGGGCAAAAGCCCAAGGCAAGCTGCACAACTATCAAGGAACACCGAGCCCCTCCCCAACGAAAAGGGCTTCTTCGGCGCCCCGACCGTATGGAACGAGCCAGGACATCGCATGTCTGGGTCGCGGTGCCGAGATCTCCGCCCCGCCGTGTCTTTGCTGTTCGCACAGTCCGGGCGTCGGTCGGAGGGGGCATGAGGTCTGGCAGCGATGCCACTGCTCTTCCCTCGTCGCCACGGCTTTTGTTTCCCTCGCACAACATCACTGCCAAATGACGTTAGTACACCCTCTGGGTTTTCCTTGCATGCAACATCACTGCCACATGGAGTTGATACATTCTCTGGCTTGTCTTCGTCGCCAGAGGAGAAGCTGAAAGCGGGTGAGGCATGACAAGAGATGGAACGTACTTCAATGTGTAACTGCGCGTTGTCCTGTACCTGACTTTCTCAGGCGAGAGATGCAGGAGGCTCAACGGTGATTGAGCGAATAATGTGCGAAGGACGAGCCTTCCCTCGTCGCCACGGCTGCATTCGCCACGAACTCCTGGTCACAGCGCGGCCCAAGAGAGGTCCGTGGTGTAGCGATATCCGTATCTTCTAGTTCCCCGCTTGCTGTTGATTCGGGCCTTGCGCCTGCTACTGGGCCCTGGGACAAAGCGAACATGGATGACGCAGAACGGCGCTTGGGAAAACATGTGGGAACCTCTGGGGCCGCGGATTGAAAACACCCTGTCGGAGGATGTCTGGGAATAATTACACCACGCCGCCTGGTCGGCTAAGGGACTCGGTGCACCGGTGTTCAATGACGCCCCGGCGCCTCCCAAGCCTTGAGTCAGGTCGGGCCTGTCCCCCTACAGGGGGATTTTGGACGAGAAATAAAACATACTCAAAACATATTCAGAAGATGCAACAAAATAGTAAGGAAGTAGTCCCCAGACTATTCTTCGACTGCTTTTCAATATCCCCCCTGTAGAGGGACAGGCCCGACTTACGCCTTGAGGCTGCTGGTCCCGGGCCTCCGGCGGCCGCTCGGGAGGACCCCCATGGGCACCCCCGGAAGCGCGCCCGGCGAGGCGCGGCCGCTGGGGAGCCTCCCGAGGCGGAGCGCCGCCGGAACGCCGACGGAGGCGCCGAGGCCTCGCGGGCGCCGATGCCTAACGGGCGAAGATCGGTATTAAATAAACTGTTTCGCCGTCGGGGACACCTGCCCCAGGGCGGCTGGAAAGTTTATACCCACGGTGGCACCGTGGGGGTATAAACTTTCCAGCCGCCCAGGGGCAGGCGTCCCCGACGGCGGAAAATTTATGTTATACCGTTCTTCGCTCGCTGGGATGCCAAGACCCACGGTGCAAGGCGCCTGTCCAGGACCCACGACGTGATGAGATTCTTCGTGATGGTAACGTCGACCCCCAGGGAGGTCTCGACCCGTTCCCCGGGACAGATGTTTTCACCCCGAGTCGTGCGCAGACGGTCCCCGGGGCCCGGCAAGGGTCCCCCGAGGCTTGAAATAGTGAACCACTTAGGTCCCGTCGTGATTTTTCCATGACTCGAGGGGGTCTGAGATGTGCGCCGAAACTCGCGAGCGCCCAACCTTGAACCCAGATGATCGCACCCTGCCTCTCCCCCTTCCGGCGAAACTATATCGCTTCTGGCCCCTGGAAATCATATCCGGCCTCTCGCCCTTGGACCACTCAGCGCAGGATCCCACCCAGGTCCAGATATGCTTCCAACAGGACCCCGGTCGGACTCCGACAGAACACAAGAGGATTGCAGTCGAAGCCCCGCGTGCGCCGAATCCCCTCGCCGAGATCCTCCCCAGACATCTGGCGCTCCAAGTTTGATCGATGCGTGAGCCCCGGAGGTCTGCACCACTTCCCTCAAGGTCCAGTGCTCCGTCCTGGGTACGCTGCACATCGTCTTCGTGGTCCTCCTCTGCTCCCGGGCCTCTCCTCACCATTTGGTGGCACAAGTTGCTCATCGCCTGCATGGTGGACTTCTGCTCCCCGGACGTCGACCTGGTTACGTCCTTCCGCACGCAGCACTCGAGGATGGTGATTTTGATGCGCCGTCGACGGCAACACCACACCGCTCACCCTCTGGGACTTCGCCTCCGGCTCCTGTCCAAGGTGTACCTTTTCCTGTGCGAGCTCTTCTGCACCGCCCGCACCCCGCGCCCTCCAGCCGCCTGAGGCCCCGCCCGCCCGCGCCCTGTCTCCCCAATTAGTGCTTTGCGCGGCCCGCCTGGCTCGTAACCGGAAGAGGCTCGCTCTCGACCCGCAGACCAAAAAACGTTCCGTCCTGGGTCGTCTTTGGACGGCCCCGAGGCCCAGCGAGGGCCCCTGGAGGCGGAACACGGCCCTCAAACGGGCCGCCCCAACCTGTCCAGAGCGTCGGCTCGCGGCGCGCGAAGGGGGGTAGGGGGAGGGGGGAAAGCTTCTTGGAAGCACCCTGCTTCTTCGAAGGCCCCGGCCTTACGTCTATATATATATATATATATAGAGAGGAGAGAGAGAGAGGAGAGAGAAGAGAGAGAGAGAGAGAGAGAGAGAGAGAGAGAGAGAGAGAGAGAGAGAGAGACGTCCCGCGCCCTCTAAGAAGCAGGGGTGTTCCTAAGAAGCCTTCCCCCCTCCCCCCCTCCCCCCGCCCCCCCCCCCCCCCCCCCCCCCTGCGCGTGGCCGAGTCGGATCGCTGGGCGGGCCCCTCGGCCGGTCCCAAACGACGCGCTGTGCACGCTTGGCGGGCCCCTCCGCCGACCGCGGGCGCAGCGCGGGTGCTTCGCGAGCCCGCCCGCGAGCGCAGCCAGGGCGGCGAGGGTCCCCAGCGCCGCGAGGAGGCGCGCTCCGGGGAGCCCCCGGGCCGCGCGGGCGGGGGGCGCGTCCCGCAGCACGCGCACGCTGGCCGGGCCTGGCCGCGGCTCGGCGAGGCAGCCGCCCCCGCCGTCGGGGCACCTCTGGGCGGCGCGCCGGCGGGGGGAGGAGGAGGAGGAGGAGGAGGAGGAGGAGGAGGAGGAGGAGGAGGAGGAGAGGAGGAGAGGAGGAGGAGGGGAGGAGAGGAAAAGAAGAGGAGGAGGAGGAGGGAAAGAAGAAGGAGGAGGAGGAAGAGGAGGAGGAGGAGGAGGAGGAGGGGGAGGAGGAGGGAGGGAGGAGGAGGAGGAGAGGAGGAGGAGGAGGAGGAGGAAGGGAGGGAGAGGAGGCGGAAGAGGAGGAGAAAGAGGAGGAAGAGGAGAAGGGGAAGGAGAAGGAATAGGAGGAGGATGAGGAGGAGGAAGGGGATGAGAAGGAGAAGAGGAGAGTAGGGAGGAGGAAGAGGAGGAGGAAGGAGGAGGAGGAGGAAGAGGAGGAAGAGAAGAAGGGGAGGAGAAGAGGAAGAGGAGGAGGAGGAGGAGGAGGAGGAGGAGGAGGACACGGAGAAGGAGGAGAAGGAGGAGGAGGAAGAGGAAAAGGAGGAAGATGAGGAGGTGGGAGGAGGAGGAGGAGGAGGAGGAGGAGGAGGAGGACAAGGAGGAAGAGGAAGAGGAGGAGAAGGAGAAGGAGGAGGACGAGGAGGAGGAAGAGGAGGAGGAAGAGGAGGAGGAAGAGGAGGATGAGGACCAGTGTAAACCCAAGAGCTATCAACGATGTTGGAATACACCCTCCCTCCAAGCTCCCTCTTCATAGGCCCCTACAACGGTCTTTTCCATTGAGGGATCTGCCTCGTTGGAAGACAACCGCTTGAAGATCCGGAAGCATGCCAAAACATTGTATTCGGGATTCCAACGCCACGGAACAACCTGACTGTTGCGTCTTGACGATCTTGTATCGTGCCAGGAAGCCATTCTTGGGATTCCAACACCGCAAATCAAGGTAACTGTTGCACCTGCAAAATCCGAAATCCGTCCAAAACACAATTTCTGGTACGTTGATCGTGGGAATCCGTGAAGATCTGACAAATTTTATGAACGAATGTGCGCGGCGCTAAGGCGAGAGCCACATTTTGAAAAGGAGCCGCCCTCAATCCGTGAAGCCCTTGCAATGTTTCAGAATGAGTGTGCGCAGCGCTAAAACGAGAGCCACATTTTGACCTTCAATCCGTGCTCTTGCAATTTTTTAAACGAATGTACGCGGCGCTAGGGCGAGAGCAACATTTTGAAAACGGCGTATCCTCAATCCGTGAATCTCTTGCAAATCTTTAAAACGAATGTGCGCGGCGCTACGGCGAGAGCCACATTAAACAAAAACAGCCGCCCTCCATCTGTGAAACTCTTGCCAACTTTAAATTTCAGAATAAGAAATGGTAAGAAGTCTCAGGCGAAACGCCCAGCCCGCCCTAAAAACTAGCCTCGGGGTGCGACAGGGGAAAATTCCCCAATCAGAGCTTGCCTCTGTAGGGGTCCTGGCGGATTCATTTGCTTAGATGAGGTGTGTCAACCATTTCCGCAGGCCGCGCGGGTGACCGGAAGCCTTATAGCCCCATAGCTCTATAGCCTTATGGCCATGTCGCCCTATGGCCCTGTAGCCCTGTAGTCCTATAGCCCTATAGCCCAATACCACTATAGCCCCATAGTCCTATAGCCCCCCTATAGCCCTATAGCCCTATACCCCAATAGCAACCTGGCCCTAGAGCCCTATAGCCCAATAGCCCTAGACATATGGCCCTAAAACCTCATAGCCCTATAGCCATACAGCCCTATAGACTTATAGCCTTATAGCCCTATAGCCTATAGCCCTAGAGCCCTATAGCCCTATACCCCAGTAGCAATATTGCCCTATAGCCCAATAGCACTAAAGCCATGTAGCCCCATAGCCTTATAGCCTTATAGCCCTGTAGCGATATAGCCCTGTAGCCTTATAGCCTTATAGCCCTATAGCCCTAGAGCCCGAGAGTGCTATAGCCTAAGCCCTACAGCCCCATCGCCCCATAGCCCCAAATACCTATAGCCCTGCAGCACTGTAGCCCTTATGGCCCTATAGACCTATAGCCCTGTGGCCCTATAGCCCTATAGCCCCAAAGCCCTACAGCCCTATAGCCCTTATGGCCCTTGTGACCCTATGGCCCTGTAGACCTATAGCCCTATGGCCCTGTAGCCCTATAGCCCTATGGCCCTGTAGCACAATAGCCCCATAGTCCTATAGCCCAATGAAGCCAGAGCCCTATAGCCCTAACAAGACAATGATTGGGCTTTTTTCTCTGGTATCTGTATTGTTAAAGAGAAGGAATAGAGAGGAGGAGGAGGAGGAGGAGGAGGAGGAGGAGGAGGAGGAGGAGGAGGAGGAGGAGGAGGAGGAGGAGGAGGAGGAGAGGACGTGGTGGAGGAGGAGGAGGAGGAGAGGAGGAAGAAGAGGAAGAGGAAGAGGAAGAGGGGAGGAGGAGAGGAGGAGGAGGAGGAGAGGAGGAGGAGGAGGAGGAGGAGGGAGGAGGAGGAGGAGGAGGAGGAGGAGGAGGAGGAGAGGGGGCAGGCCTTCTCCAACAGAGGCACAATACGCGGCAGAAGCATGAGCTCTTGACGGTCCGCGCGGATATCTTGGATCTGCGCTCAAGAGTTGATGCTTATGCCGTTTCTTCTTCTCCGCTCCAAGGCGGCGGGGGCTTCTCAGCAGCCCCCCCCTCCTTCTGAGAGGCCGCCGCTGTCTGCGGAGAAGACTCGGAGCACCTCTCAGCTTCTGAGCTTCCTGAGAAGACCCGCCCCTTCTGCCTTCCCCCCTGGGCGCGCCGCCAACCTCAGCTCGGCCCTGGCGCTGGCCAGGGTGCTGTCGTTGGCGTGCCACTTCCGCTGGATCATCAGCCGCGTCAGCTCGGCCTGGCAACTCCGCGCGTAGCAGCCCTGGTGGAGTCCACGCACCGTCTTCTCGGCCTCGAACTGGCCCCTGCGGGTGGAGCCGGGATTGCGGGTCAGGTCCAGCAGCAACACCTGGCCGTAGGTGCCGTCCACGAATGTGTTCTCGCAGAGCTCCGTGAAGGCGGCGTCGTTCTCCCAATCGAACTGGCAGGTGCAGCTCTGCTCGGACGTCTTGCACTTGTTGCAGCCCGCCTCCCGCTTCACGCGGCCCTGCATCGGGTCGCCGACGATCATGCGGTCGAAGACCTCGCCGAACTTGGTGCAGGACGCTGGCTGCGACAGCCGAGGGGGCATCAGGCAGTTGTCCTGCTCCCTGGCGCCTGGCGCCTGGTAGCCCGACGAACCGCACGCCGCCAACGAGTCGGCCTGGAGCCTTTCCACCACCAGGCCGCGCTCCCGGAGCAGGGACGGGACGCCCTTGCCGGTGCAGGGCGAGTTGGGGCAACGGCAGCCTAAGGTCGGTCCCCGGGCGCCTTCCGGGGCTCAAACGCACAGGTCTGCCGTGCTGCGTCCAGCCGCGGCGGCGAGGGCCCCTCCCGGAGGCCAACCACCGATGCCTCGGCTGGCCCGCCTCTGACCTTGATGCCCGCGCTGCCGACGTCCACCAGGTGCATGACGTCCAGGACCACGACAGCCACCCTGTCGGGGTCCCGCGACCGCGCGCGCACAATGCCGTCCGCCAACGAGGGGTTCAACTCCGAAGGGGCGCCCCACGGCAACTCCTGCGGCCGCGGAGACGTAAGGCCCGGGTTCGGGGGACTCGGGTTGGCCTGACGGGGCCGCCAGGAAAAGAACGAGACCCCGTCTGGAATTTGACGCGAGCTCCCGCTGCAAGCACCGCACGAAGACGGAACCGCCAAGATGCTGGAGGGGCCCGTCCAAGGGCGTCGGCGAAACCGAGTTCTGGAGAACTCGAGCAGGAGATCGACTACAGAGTTGATCTACGATTCACCCGAGCATTGCATGTTTCGTCTGATCTACCAAACAAATACATGAGTTTCTCGTTGATCTGCGAAAATGCCATGAATAGCTTTCCGCCGATTCGATGAGACGTTCGATTCTCGGGGCAGCTCGACTCTGCAGCCGACGTCCTGCTCGAAGAGCTCGAGCCTTGTGCGGCCCCGGTCCAGCTGCGCCGCGGCGCGCCCCTCGCCGCCCCCGCGCTCCAGCAGCAGCTCCAGGGCGCCCAGGTCGCCGCACCCCGCCGCCGCGGCCGCGGCCCGCCGCGCCTCCGCGCCCGCGCGGAGCCAGGAGGCGTTGCCGAAGGCCGCCGCCAGGCGCCTCGCCAGCTGCGCCTCCTCCCGCACGCTGCCCGCGCGCGTCAGCAGGCACTCCTCCTATTCGGGAGGCCAGCCCCCCAGGGGGGGCAGCGAGGAGGGGGCGGGCCTCGTCGGAAGGCCGGGCAGCCCCCCCCCCCCCCGAGGCCCTCCGAGAGGTGTGCCCAGCCTTCCCCGAGGGCGAAGAAGGAGGAGGAGGAGGAGGAGGAGGAGGAGGAGGAGAAGGAGGAGGAGGAGGAGGAGGGCTTCTGAGGAGCCCCGCCGCCCTCTGAGAGGGCCTCCTCCTTCGCGTTTCCCCCCCCCCCCCCCCCGCTGACCGCCGACCCTTCGGGGTCGGATCAGATCGGGTCGCCCGTGCGGGCACGCGCCCGGGCCCCCCTAAGGGCGAGGCGGCTGAGGCCATAGCCCCGCATGGGAGGCAGCGCGCGTGGGAGGCTTGAGGAGGCTTGAGGAGGAGGAGGAGGAGGAGGAGGAGGAGGAGGAGGAGGAGGAGGAGGAGGAAGGATAGTGTGTATACCGATCCTTCGGGGGGCCCCGTTGGGCCCGGACCCCGCGCTCGCAGCGCCGGCGGACGCGAGCGCGACCGCAGGGAGCCGACGGGCCGCGCTGGAAACCCGGCGCGCAGGGGCAGGTCAGTGTCAAGGGGCCCAGGGACACACAGAAGCTCCTCCTCCTCCTCCTCCTCCTCCTCTCCTCCTCCTCCTCGTTGTCCTCCTCGTCGTCCTCCACTTCCTGCTCTTGCTCCTTCCTGCTCCTCCTCCTCCTCCTCCTCCTCCTCCTCCTCCTCCTCTTCCTCCGCACCTTTTCCCCAAGCAGGCTCGCATCGTCCGCGCACACACACAAACAAATATACACAAGTCCCAGGATTCCCCTATATGTTCGATGTTGTCTAAATGTTTGTCTTCCCCCCCTTCCCATATTTTCCCGCAGTCTCCTGGGAACCGACAAGTCGTTGTGCCTGCGTGTGTCCTTCCCTCCTGCATCAAAATTGGCAAGACGGCCGCAGAAGAGGGGGGGAAGGAGACCATGGCCGCCGAAGATGGCGGAGCTCGGGCGCGCACAGGCGGCCTGAGGCACCGGAGACCGAGCCTGGATTCAGGCTTAGGTCGGGCATGTCCCACTACAGGGGGAGTTTGGACGAAAAATCACACACACACATACATATATATATATATATATATGTATATATATACATATATACATATATATACACTAGAACCATCGCGCGCGCTTTTCGCGCGCTCAGGTTGTAGCAGGCCCCAGGCCTTGACGAATTCACTGCTCCACTGAAGTAGTGGACCACAGTCCACGCATACCAATCTGCATTCCGAAAGGCCTTCGAGGAAAATGGTTGTGTAGGGGGGCGGGGGCCGTATGAATCGGGTTCCTAGAAGGCCTTCTGGGAGCATGGGTTTGGGGCGTCTTGGGGAGCCTGTTGGGGCGTGCCGTCGTCGTCGTCGTGTTGCTACGACCCATTCCCGAACCTGACCTTGTGGGTGGCCTAACCTGGCGCAGCCCCGATTGGCAACAGACCCGACACGTTCCGTCCAAACTGAACGCCAGGTTCGCACTCGCCCAGCACGAAGGGACGGCAGCTGCGGTCGCCAGTTGTCTCGCGCCGAGTCCGTACGTTTTACTACGGGGACGGGCTGATTTTTGCCTCTTGAAGGCCCTCTTGGGGCCCTCTTCGGCCATCTTGAAGCCATCTCGGGCCCTCTTGGGCCTGGCTGAGGCTGTCCTGGGGCCCTCTAGGGCGTCCTCGGAACCCAGAAGTCATGTTCCCGGAGAGGCTTCCGGGAACATGATTTCGAACGGGGCCCTCTTGGGCCTCCCTGAGGCCGTCTTGGGGGCTTCCTGGGCCGGCTTCGGGGCCTCTTGGGCCGTCTCGGGGGGTTCGGTGAGCCCCACAGGCCGACCCTTTTGGGCCGTTTGGGGCCCTCTTGGGTCTCTCTTGGGCTGTCTTGGGGCTCCTCGGGGGCGTCTGGGGCACTACGAAGACGAAGCCAGCCAGCATGCTGAAAGTGTACGTTTTACAAAAGAAATGGGCCGATGTTTGCCTCTTGAAGGCCGGCCCTCTCGGGGCCCTCTTCGGCCATCTTCAAAACATCCCGGGCCCTCTGGGGCCCCGGGGGGCCCCGGCTTCGGGGCCTCATGGGCCGTCTCGGGGGGTTTCGGTGAGCCCCACAGGCCGACCCTTTTGGGCCGTCTGGGGCCCTCTTGGGTCTCTCTTGGGCTCTTGGGGCTCCGCGGGGGCGTCTGGGGCACTGTGAAGACGAAGCCAGCGAGTATGCCGAAAATGTACGTTTTACGAAGGACATGTGCCGATGTTTGCCTGTTGAAGGCCCTCTTGGGCGTCTTCGGGGCCTCTTGAGGCTTTCTTGACCATCTGTACGGCCCGCGTGGCCTGTCGGAAGGCTGTGGGAACCATCTTGGAGCGCCTGGAGGGCCTGGTGGGCTGTCTTGGGAGCCTCATGGAAGCCACCTGGGGCCTCTTGTGGCCTCTTTGGAGGCTTCTTGAGATTGAGGGCTCGAATTTTCGGCGAGGGGGCCACGATCCTCGTGAGGTGTGCCAAAAATGGCCTGGGGGGCCGCCATGGCGACCAGAGGCAGCAGCCGGCCCCCCCCCGGCCTACTCCAACATATATATATATATATATATATATATATATCTATGTATATATATATATATGTATATATATACATACATATATATATATATACATACATACATATATATATATATATATATATATATACTCAGACTTCGTCCTCGGGGGGCCCTTCTGCCGGGCCCCGCGACCGTCACAGAGCGACTCGGCATGAGACGCCGGCCCTGGGGAACGAGTCGGGGCTCTGGGGGCCGCGCGTTGGAAGAAGCAGGACGTCGCCTGTCTGGGAAGCTCGGCACCAAGACCCGCACCGGCCCTCTCCACCAAGGGAAGCCGATGCTGATCTCGGTGACGGCGGTGATGCTCGGGCTTGCTGGGAGGCCGAGCGCCTACCACCGGCAGCAGAGTCCAGGATCCTCTCTCCCCCCGCTGGAGGCAGCCCCCCGTGTCGGTGCTGGCTCAAACTTCCAGGCCCCCCGCTCCTCCACGTCCACGAGCCCGAAGGAGGGCCTCGAGCCTCCGAACAGGTCCCTCGCGAGGTCCTCGCGGCTCTGCCCGGCCTCCTCTTGAGGGGCGCGACGCCGACTTCACGACGACTTCTTCGGACGTCGACTCCAGCAGTTTCGACCCATTCTAAGGGACCGGTTTTCCATTCTGGGATACTTTGTGACGGGAGGCGCAACCCCGACTTCATGATGAGTTCTTCGGACATCGACTCCAAAAGTTTCGACCCATTCTAAGGGACCGGCTTTCCATTCTGGGATATCTTATGACTCATGACGCTCCCGAAGCCGGGTGAGGGCCTCCAGGAGCTGACAATGATATCCCTCCCCCCTCCATGAACGTGGAGACAAGATGCCCAGACAACACCCTCGGGTAATGAAATAATCTTGACGGGACGTTGTCCTCAATGTTTTGCCTCGGGGTGCACTTGAACCAAGCCTCGGGGCCGCCCCCAAAAGCGACTCAGGATGAACAACCGGTCCCAGGGAATGGGTCGAGTCTAGTGCGCGCGCACGAGTCAGCAAAGACCAGGCTGCAGGTCCAGTGGAATCGTGCTAAGTGGCATCACCCAGGCATACCAAAAACATGATTCTGCAAATTGCTCCGCGAACGTTTTCGCATGCATTTTTCGTGTCGCAACACCCTGCCAGTTGAACGAATTAGCTGGTACTGGGGCTGCCTCCATCGCGCTTGCATCATCGTAGTAAACTCGACGAGACCCCTGGGGGTCTCGACGAGACCCCTTGGGGTCGACGCCAGGAAAAAAAAAAAAACATGGCGCCGGGGATCTGGGCACTGAGGGACAGAAAACGGCACGAGCGTGCACTTTGAAGGGAGGGCCCCAGGACACACGAATAAACAGACGCACGCCCCAGGATCCCTCAGATTCTCTTCGATCTGTTCTGGATGTTCGTCTTCCCCCACCACACCCCGAATTTTTCCGACATTTTCCTGGGAGTCGACGATTCTGCTGTATTCCCAGAGATCCGACGTCGTGATTTTTTCAATGCGGGGTCCCCAGAAGTCTCGACCCATTCCCCAGGACTGGTTTTTCATCCTGAGTCGTTTTTTGACGGTCCCGGGGCCCGGCGAGGGCCGCTAGGGGCCGAAAATCCGCCGACCCTGTCGGCGTGTGTGAGGGGCTTGTCCGTTCAAGTCGTCATCTCCGTCATTCGTTGGTCGTCGTCTCTGTCGTCCCCTGTCCCTGCCTCCCCGTTTCCCTGGGCTCGTCGAAGCTCCCCCCTTTTCCAGGGACCTCCTCAGCGCGCCAACCACAGCGAAGTTGAGCAACGTCTTAATTGAGTCGAAGGGAAGCCCCTTCCCTTCGATCCCTTCTCCGCCAGGGGGGAGGGGGGTAGGGGGTCAGACGCCTCACCGGGGAGTCCGCGAGCCCCAAAAAACACCAAGACGGGCCAAGAGGGCCCCAAGAGGCCCCAAAGACAGGCCAAGAGAACCCCGAATCGCCGAACGATCTGTCCAAGACGCCTTAACGGCCTCCAGACGGCCCAAGAGGCCTGCAAAGCGCCCCAAGAGGCCTCCAGGAGCTTTCCCAAAAGAGCCCCAAGAGGCAAAAATCATGGATTTCCCATACGTTTTTAACAGATGTTGGCGTTCTTGACTCTTCCGCTTCCCGACGGGCCCAGACGGCCCAAGAGATCGGCCCGAGACGGCCCAAGAGGCCCCCAAGAGGGTCCCCTAACGGCCGAAGAGGGCCCCAAGACGGCCCAAGACGCCTCCAAGACGGCCCAAGAGGCCCCAAATATTGCTCCAAGACAGCCCAGGAGAGCCCAAAATTGCCCAGGAGGCCTCCAAGAGTGCCTCGAGACGGCGCAAGAGGAGCCCAGGACGGCCCAAGACGGCCTCAAGAGAGCCCCAGGCTGTCGTCCCAAGAAAGCCTCTGGTCTCCTCCTCCTCCTCCTCCTCCTCCTCCTCCTCCTCCTCCTCCTCCTCCTCCTCCTCCTCCTCCTCCTCCCCCCCTCTGCTCCCCCTCCTCCTGCTCTCCTCTGCCTCCTTCTCCTCCTCTTGCTTCTCATCCACATCCTTCCCCACTCACCTCCTCCCTCATCCACCGCCCCCGCCCCTTCCTCCACCTCCCACTCATCCTGCTACCCCTGCCCCTCCCCCTCGTTTTCATCTTCGTCGTTCTCAGGGTCGGCGGCACTGGCCGTAAGGCCTGCGCAATATAGAGAGAAAAACCTCCGCCCTGATTTCTTCAATGCGTTGGAGCTCTGGGTGTGTGCCTGCGTGTTTTTTCCCTCCTGGCTTCTCGGAGCTCCGCGCGGATGCCCCGGCTCGGCGCGGCCCCCCCCCCCCCGGGGGCGGCGCCTCTCGCGCCGCCCCCATGGCGCGCCCTGCGCGCCCGGGGGGGAGGGGCCCAGCGCCGAGCCACGAGGTCCGCGCGGGCCCCCGAGCATCTTACGGTCGGCTCGCGCGCCGCTCCCGGACCCCCATCGGGCAACGAAAAAGCAATCGCGGCGGGAGGCGTTTCACCGGTCTCCGTCCTCTGGGTGCCCCTCCGATCCTGGCCTCGGGATCGGTGAGCCCAGGCTCCCTCGCGACGTGGCAAGATCACGACGGGAGGTTCTTCGCTACTTTCGGCCTCTGGGGACCCTCACCCTCGCCGGGCCTCGGGACCGTCCAAAAACGACGCGGGTCGAGGAACCGGTCCCGAAGAGTGGGTCGAGGCCTCTGGGGGTCGACGTTATGCGAAAAGCATGATGTCGGGGGTCTGGGTTCGCGCGCGCAGAGGTTTTGGACACCGCGTCGATCGTTCAGCCTTGAACGGATCGCGGCCCCGACCGTTCGAGAATCAAGTCCGTCGGGTCCAGTGGCGTTGCCGCGCCCCTCGGTGCTTCCGCGTCGCTCTATCGTGTGAATTCAGCCTTGAACGCCTTCGCTGGCATCGCCGGCGCGCCATCGCCGCACGAACCTATCGTATGTTCGTGCAGATGTTTGCTCTGCGAAGAAAGGCACCGATCCCGCTACAGTCCGGCTGCTGAAATAAGGAACGCTCGAGGACGAACGAAGCCCTCTTTTTGGCACCGATGAAGCCTGGGTGCGCGAGGAGGGCTAGAGGAGCAGTCGCGAAAGGACCTCGGAATACCGAGCCCCTTCCGAACGCCAGCTGTTCCTTCTTTCAGCGTCTTGGCTGCACTCCCCGGACCTCTCCAGGAGCGCGCTCTGACCAGACTCCTGAGGAGCGGCGTCTCGAAGATGGGGGCCTGAGGCCTGAGGGATGGGATCCTCAGGACGAGGTGCCTCAGACCACTCTGGGATCCCTTCCTGCCCTTATAGGACCCCATCCCTTAGGAACCCATCTTTAAGCCACCGAGATTGAGCAGGGACCGACCGTCCCGGCATTCCTATAGTCCTACCACGCAATTTTCTTAGAACCCAAAATTGTTCTTAGAACAAGAACGCTGTTTCTTAGAACATAAACCCGATGCGTTAAAACAAGACAGTCCCAACCAGCAATGTTCTAAGAACATTTCGTGGAAAACACACACACAGTTCTTAGAACATTGTTTGGCAGAGCTATAGGCGAGCCAGGACGCTTCGCCACTGCTTGACGAGAGGAAGAGCCCGGCCGTGGCGACGAGGGCCGGCTCCAGGACGCGCGGCGGCACCGCTGGCGTTTCCTGCACCGCTGGCCCCTGCTCCACTCGACGAGCGCGTTCCACCACTCGCAAAGTAACCACTCGCAGATGGCCTGGATGATCCAGGCCATTTGCCATTTGACTCGCAAATGGCCTGGAGCCCGCGCGGAAGAACAGGAAAACCTGCTCCACTCGACGAGCGCGCTCCACCACTCGCAGAAAGTAGCTGCTCGCAGATGGCCCCCCGCCAGGGATCTACGAGAAATTGCGTCAGAGCAGAGAGGTGTTTTTGCTCGGATTTCTCGGATCGACGGGCGCGTTCCACTACCCGCAGAAAGTAGCTACTCGCAAATGGCCGGGGTCCCCCGCCGGGGATCTACGATACATTGCGTCAAAGCAGAGAGGTGTTTTTTTCGGACGCTTGCGAATAGGAAAGCAGAGAGGTGTTTTTTGTTGTTCTGACGTTTGCGAGTGTAGGAGAACAACAAGTGGCATAAACATAAAAACACTGAGGTCCGCGCGGATTTCTCGGATCGGCGCTGGAACCCCCTCCCTGGCGCGCTCCGCGCGCCAGGGGCGGCGCCGGAAGCGCCGCCGGGGGGCCCGAACGCCGATCCGAGAAATCCGCGCGGATCTCCGAGTTTTTATGTTTATGCCACTGCTTGTTCCCTAATTTGACACCCTGCGCCAGAACTACCAAGACGTCCGAACACGGCAAAGAGACCGGCCACCGCGCATGAAAAATGAACGGCACCCCGAGCCCCGCCAGTGACCCACCAACACGCATGAGGTACAGCGGCGCCGACCCCAGCCCGAACAGGACGCGTGATGCAGTAGATGTTCATGTTTATGCCACTCTTTGTTCCCCGTGGCCACTTATTTGCGAGTAGTGGAACGCGGTCGGTGATCCACGGCGGCTCCTGGGCGCAGCTGCCGGGGTCCACCGCGGCGGCCACCTGAGCGACGGCAAGAAGCGGGCCCTACGAGCGATGGCATGGCGACGTCGGGGCGCCTCGTCCTCGTTGTGCTCCTCCTCCACCTCGTCCTCCTCGTCCTCGTCCTCCTCGTCCTCGTCCTCGTCCTCGTCCTCGTCCTCCTCCTCCTCCTCGTCCTCCTCCTCCTCCTCCTCCTCCTCCTCCTCCTCTCCTCTCTCCTCCTCCTCCTCTTTCTCCTCCTCCTCCTCCTCCTCCTTCTCCTCCTGCTCCTCCTCCTCCTCTCCTTCTCCTCGTCTCCTCTTCTCCTCCTCCTCCTTCCTCCTCCTCCCTCCTCTCCTCCTCCTCCTCCTCCTCCTCCTCCTCCTCCTCCTCCTCCTACTCCTCCCCCTCCTCCGCAACATTGGAAGCGCGAGCGCTTGCGCGCCACCTTGCGCGGGCAGCTTGCGCGCGAATGTTAGCACAGTCGGGCCCGGTGTTCTACGCATCGCGCACCTGCCGGTGGAAGGCCCGCAGCGTGGTGCGGTCCGTGCCGCCGCCGAGGGCGCCGAGCGTATGGTTGGCCAGGGACCAGGCGCGGCCGCCGCGGCACCGGGCTGGCGCGCGCCCGAGGAGCTGCCCGGCGGACCGCTGCAGCGCGGCCAGATCCTGGGAGGGCGCCAGCTACTGTTAGGTCGGGCATGTCCTCCTACAGGCGGATTTTGGACGAAAACTGAAAATGATCTAAAAAAATCAAAAGCATAAACACTCTAAAAATCGTCCCCATCATTTTTTGACTATTGTTGAATATTCCTCCTGCAGAGGGACACGCCCAACTTAAAGCGACTGCGCCCCCCACATGCACCCCCATCCGGCAAGAAATTTTGGGCCGTTCTCGGCCTTCGGGGGCCCTCGCTGGGCCAAGCATCCGCGTACCCAGTTTGTATTTTTGCTTGTGAGCTTCCGAAGCCGGGGGTGGCTTCCGGCAGCTGCGCCTCGTCGAGGGCGTTCTGGGGATGTGGCAATCGTCCCGAACGGCCACCGGAGGCCCGAGTCGCGGTCCGAAAGCCAGAGATGCTCGCGTCGGGGAAAAAAAACAGAAGGGAAGGCTTCCAACAGTTCTCGGCCCCCGGGGGCCCTGGCCGGGGCCGGGACCCACAGGACCTTCAAGAAGCGCGAAGAGCCGGCCCATGGGGAACGCGTCGGGACTTCCGGGGACACCGCATGGGAAAGCGTCTAGGCATCGGAGGTCTGGGGCCAGGAACGCGTGCTCAGCGCGCCGCTGCGGCGGTCCCTGCGGCACGCCATGCCCTGCAGTCAGGTCGCATGCCGCTCTGCCTCGTGGGATGGGAGGCCGGGGGGCAACTGGGAACGCTGACGTTCGGGAGCGGGGACGCGCGTAGCGTGTCGCGCCGCAGCGTGGTGGGCCAGGACCAGCGGCGCGATGACGCCAAGCACATTGCCTCGACCGTGTGCACTTCGATCCTGGCATGCCCCGTCCTGGGCCCAGGATCGGTGTGAAAATGCCCTCCTCCTGGCTCTTGGCTGGGAGGGCACATGCCCAGGCATCCGATGTTTTGCGTTTTCACTGCTGCGTCCCCGCCGAGATCCCGACCTTCTCCCCAGGGCCGGATTTCATCCCGGATCTTTTCTTTGACGGTCCTGGGGCCCAGCGAGGGCCACCAGGGGCCGAAATCTGCTAAAAACGTTTCGTCTTGAGTTTTCACGACGCGAGCATGTCGGGCTTTCGGGTCACAACTCAAGCCTCCTGTGGCCGTTCAAGGCGATCCGGGCACCGCCAGAACGCCCTCGACGAGGCGCCTCGACTAGGCGAAGCTGATGGACAACGCCCCCGTTTTCGGAAACTTTCGGAGGCCCGCAGACGGTGTGGTGACCACACTGCGTGGTGAGTCAACGGGGCTTCGGGGTCACCGCAGGGTTATGTGACTCTGGGCCGTTCTCTGATGACATCTCGGGCGACTGGGACCTCCGAAGTCCCAAGACCGTGCGGTGAAGGACCGTGCGGAGTTGTCTCTTGGGACTTCGAAGTCACGACGCGGTCCGTCACCGCACGGACCTGAGACCCCCAGGAAACTGGGCACACGCTGTTTGAAATGGCTGCGAAAGGGGGGGGAGGGAAATGCCATGCAAGTGAACTCGCCAGGGTCTGAATCGCGGGTTCTGGAGTCGCATCTTTTACTTCCAGCGCCTTCCGCCAGCCTTTCGCCGGCTTGCGCAGGCGGAACCGCCCCCGTTTTACTTCCGCTGGCTTCCGCCGGGGAAGCGATGTGTCAGCCACGTCGGCGCGGAGAAGATCGGGCTCCACATCGAGCCACATCGCCGCTGCATCGGCGATGCGGCGCAATCCTCCGACCCAGTCGACTGTTACCCCATCTGGGAGGCCTGGAGAAACAGCCTCGAACGGGGGGGGACAAAAAGGTGAAAATACTGCTACTTCACGAACCTCTCCTGGAGTGCCTTCTGACCAGAATTTAAAACAAAAATCCGGCTGTGGCGATGAGGGCCCGCCAGGAGGCCCACATGGCCGAAACCGCGTATCGGTATGTATTTTTCCCTCCTCTCGCACACCGAGTACCCAGACCCCCGACGCCATGATTTTCTCATGACGTCAACCCCCAGACGTCTCGACCAATTCCCCAGCACCGTTTCCTCGTCCCCAATCGTTTCTGTTGACAGCCCGGAGGCCCGGCGAGGGCCCCCCAGGAGGCCGAAACTGGCGCGAAGAACCTCCCGTCGTGATTTCTGTCACGACGCGAGGGGAGTCTCTGGGCACACCGATCCCGAGGCGCGCAGGCTGGCGCCCCCCGGCGGAGGTCCTCCGCGCCCAGACGCGCGGCGAGGGAGTCCGCGGGCTCGGCGGGGCCGTAGGCCGTGCAGTGGTCCTGGGGGGGGGGGGGAGCGACGGCAGGGGCCTCCCAGAAGGGGGTCCGAGCAGGTCCCCAAGCCCCCCTCGGAGTCGGGAAAGAATCGCGGTGCCCGCTTGTTCCCCATATCCAGAGGATGGGGTTCTGGCGATCCCCGATGTCCAGAGGATGGGGTTCTTTTGGTTCCCCATATCCACAGGATGGGGTTCTTGCTGTTCCCCATATCCACAGGATGAGGTGCTTGCTATTCCCTATATCCACAGGAGGGGGTTCTTGCTATTACTGTGACCGCGCGGACCTTCCTTTCACCTTCCTCCTCCTCCTCCTCCAAGTCCAGCCTTCTCCTCCTCCTCCCCCTGATGATATGGTATGGCATGTAATGTCACGTTATGTCAGGCTATGGTTTGTTATGTTATGATGTGGTGATGATGATGTCGATGATGCTGATGATGGTGATGATGACGATGACGCTAACGCTGATGCTGGTGATGATGGTGGTGATGATGGTGGTGATGATGCTGATGATGATGATGATGGTGGTGATGATGATGATGATGATGGTGATGATGATGCTGCTGATGATGATGCCGATCAAATTCTGAGGATGCCTCGAGCGAGGCGCGGGTTTCAGCACCCCCAAGGGGGAGCCGCCAGGGTTATTGCACGGCTTCCGTGCGCGCCAAAATGGCAGGGATGTCTCGAGCGGTTTGCCTGTTTACCAGGCACCAGGAGGCCCCTAAGAGCCCCCAGGAACAAAAGGCCTGAGAAGGCCACAGGAGTGGCTCCAGTCACATGTTTCGTATGTAGGCTCATATAGATTGCGCCTCCCCTGAAGCACGAATCCTCCGTGCTTTACATCTGTTTCTATAGATTTGGCCTTCCCTGGGGCCCGAGTCCTTGGTGTTTTACGTGTGTTCTTATAGATTGCCCTTCTCCTGCGGCTCCAATCCGTAATGTTTTTACGCACGTCTGTTCCTATAGATTGGGCCCCTCCTGGGGCACGGATCCTCCCAAAGAGGCCCCAGGAGCCTCCAGGAGGCCCCAGGAGGCCACGCGAGGACCCAGGAGGCCTCAGGAAGCTACAGGAGGAACCAGGAGACCACAGGAGGCCCCAAAAAGGCCCCAGGAGGCCCCAGGAAGCCCCAGAAGGTTCCAGGAGGCCCCAGGCTCAAGCGCAGAGACGCACTAATACTGCTGAGAGTCATCCACACTCCAACTCATTCACAGTTTGATTCACTCCCAGACCGTCGTCGATACTCGAGTCCGCAAATGTTCGAAAGCTCCTGCGCCGAGACGCTCACGACGGACAGGTCCTTGCTAACAGATGCACGTATGGGGAGCTCCACGCAGGGAACAACTACTGTGACCGCGCGGACCTTCCTTTCACCTCCTCCTCCTCATCCTCCTCCTCCCTTCTCCTCCTCCTCTCCCTGATGATATGCTATGGTATGCGATGTTACGTTATGTCAGGCTATGGTATATCATGTTACGCTGTGATGGTTCTTTCCCGGGTAACGGCCGTTACCTGACAGGGGGTCGGGCGGGAGGGCAATGGCACCGGCGGCCGAGGCGCGCAACCGCCAGGGTGCGCCCGAGACACCAAGGAAGCAATCGCCCGTCATGCCGGGGGGGGGGGGCCAGGCCCCCCCCCCCCAGTCCGATCGTTAGCGTGCCTCAGGGAGGGGGGGAGGGGGAGGCCCAGGTAACGAGCGTTACCCCGGAGAGGAAAGACAAAACGCGCACACGACGCCAAGGGCTTCCGCCGCTGTCGGCCGCTGGGGGCCCTTCCCGGGCCTCGGGACCGTCAAGTAACGGCTCGGGATGCAAACACTGGTCCTGGGGAATGGGTCGAGACCTCTGAGGGTCGACGTTATGAGAAATACATGACGTCGGGCGTCTGGGATGGGGGCAGACGATCGCGCCGCATCGCCGATGCACGGGCGCTGCATCGGCGGGTTTGGCGATACATCGGCGACGATGACGTGGAGAATATCGGGCCACACATTGAGCCGCACGGCCGATGCATCGGCGAGGCGGCGCGGTCCTTCGACCCCATCTACTCGGACCCCATTGGGGAGGCCTAGAGATAGAGTAGGCACATGCGTGTATACTGTGTTTTAGGCATCTGTGAGGTCTGCTTCACGATGTTTGAACTCGCGCGATGGTGAAACTATTCCGCCTTTGCATTTAGCTCTAAGCGATGCCGCCTCCCTGTAAAGCCCCAGAACCGTGGCCCCATTTACTGGCAACGAAAGCCCGCCAGCCGACGGACTAAGGATGGGCTTCCCGTTGCCACCCTCTAAATTCGTCGGGACGCCGCCCGAAACCGAATACACTGAGAAAGCTTGCTGGATAAGGGGGCGCATTCTTCCCTGAGCGGCCCCAGGCGGCCCCGGCACGGCCGCACCACTGTTCAGTGGGGCCCCAGTGGGCCTCGACGGAGCCTCGAGACGTCCCCAAGCGGCCCCAGATCGCTCCAACGCGGCCACGGATGGGCCCTTTGGGCAACTCCAGGTGGCCCGAAAAGGCCCACGGTCCGCCAGAGACGGCCTCCTCCTCCTCCTCCCCCTCCTCCGCCCTCCTCCTCCTCCCTCCTCCTCCCTCCTCCTCCCTCCTCCTCCCTCCTCCTCCTCCTCCTCCTCCTCCTCCTCCTCCGAAGCCCCCCGAGCCTGTAGACGGGGCACGGCGCCCCCACCGAGACGCACCCGCAGGCTCTATCCCCGAGGGGGGCCGGCAGAGCGGCGCAGGCCACGGAACATCGCGGAAGAGCTCTGGGGGCACGTCCTTCGTCGATGCTTGCGGGTCCGGGCCCCGAAGTTTCTGCGTGCCCCCGCGCGCCACCCCGCGCGCGCGCCGGCAGGCCACCCTGCGCGCGCGCCTGCAGCCCGGCCCGGGCCGCTGGATGAATGAGTTCATTCGGTGCATCTCCCCTCCCTCCCCCCTCCTCCTCCCTTTCTCCTCAGCCTGGTAAAAAATAAATGCCATCATCCTCCCTTTCCCCCCTCCTCCCTTTCTCCTCCTTTTCTCCTCATCTCCCCTCTCTCCCCTTCTCCTCCGGGGCGCCCTGTTTGCATGGTAAAAAATGTCCCTGGGGGCCGTCGGTGGATCAGAAATTTGTGGTTTCTTGCAGTGGAGGCCCAGTCCACAAGAAGCCTTCCACAAGAAACCCAACCCTGAGACCCCAGGACGTGCATTGATTGTTTGTTTGGTGTGGGAAACCGTCACGCTTTCTGCGTGGCAAAACCCATCGAACCCCCCAAGACGCATGTCCCTGGATTCCTGAGCGCGGGCAGACGTCACGCTTCCCACGGCCAAACCCCTCGAAAACCCGAGAAACACACAGGGCACCCTGGAGGCAAGCGGGGTGCTTCTCGGCGTGGGCCCCCACTGCCTCTGCTGTGCCAACTGTAGAGGCCGGCGATCGGCCGCACGCTCCTCTGGGCGGGGCGGGCCCCCCACCCGACCCCCGGGGCCAGCCCACCCACTGTTGGGTCGGGCATGTCCCTACAGGCAGATTTTGGACGAAATATTAACAAAAACAATCATGAACATCGAAAATGGTCACAAGAAGTCGAAAAATCAGCCCCGTACTATTGTTGTACTATTTTTGTATATTCCTCCTGTGGAGGGACATGCCCGACCGACTTAACCCCACTGTCGGCGCCCCTGATCCGAATGGCTCTGGGCCAAAACTCGGGCCTCAGGCGGCCGCCTGCGACGACCCTGGCACCCCCAGAAAGCTCTCAGAGCGAGGCGCAGCTGCTGGAAGGCATTCCGGAGCGAGGAGACCTCCAGGAACCAACCAGAGAACTTCCAGGCCCGGATGGAGCAAATCACATCGCCGGAGGCCCCTTGTGGTGTGGGGAAAGGGGGGCGTGTTCTTGAAATCTAACAACCCCAACCTGTGGTGTGGGGAAAGGGCTCCGTCGTGATTTTTCACGACCCGAGGGGGTCTGGCGATCTGGGCCCTGCCGCAGCCGCCAGGCGTCGACAGTACGCGAGAGTGACCCCAGGCAAAAAGAGTGACCTTCGGTGCCCGGCTTCAGGGGACGGCGGCCGACCCAGCTCCAAGCGCGCGGGCCAGTGCCGGGGCCACCCCTGTGAGTCCGCACCAAAGGGTCACTCTGGCAACAGGTCTCCTCCTCCTCCTCCTCCTCCTCCTCCTCCTCCTCCTCCTCCTCCTCCTCCTCCTCCTCCTCCTCCTCCTCTTATTATTATTATTATTATTATTATTCCGCTTCTTCTTATGATTAGTGTTCGTATTACTCTTCTTATTACTCTTATTGTTATTATTCATATGATTACCATTATTGTTGTTGTTAGTATGTTTATTACAGTGTTCAATATTATTATTGTTAATATTATTATCATTATTAGTCGTATTAGTATTATTATTATTACTATTGATATGATTATTATTATTACTACTACTACTATTATTACTAGTATTATTAGTATGATTAGTATTGTTATTATTATTATTAGTCTTATTATTATGATTATTAGTATTAATATTATTATTATGAAGATTCGTATTATTATTATTATTAGTAGTACTATTTATTTTATTATTATTATTATTAGTAGTATTATTAATTTACTATTATTATTATTCATATTAGTATTATACTTATTATTAGTAGTAGTAGTATTAGTATTACTATTCTGCACCCTCCTCCTCCTCCTCCTCCTCCTCCATCCTCCTCCTCTTGCTCCTCCTCCTCTCCTCCTCCTCTCCTCCTCCTCCTCCTCCTCCTCCTCCTCCTCCTCCCTCCTCCTCCTCCTCCTCCCCTCCTCCTCCTCCTCCTCCTCCTCCCTCCTCCTCCCTCCCTCCTCCCTCCCTCCTCCTCCTCCTCCTCCTCCTCCTCCTCCTCCTCCTCCTCCTCCTCCTCCCTCCTCCGCCTCCCGAGGGCGGTCCAGGAAACCGCCCAGGCCGCCGCCTGGCCGGCGGCTGCAGGCAAGGCGGAAGTAGGCCACGTCGGCGCACGCGAGGGCGCGCCGCACGGCCGCGGGCAGCGCCGCGGGGCCCGCCTCCGCGGCGGGGAGGGCACCCCGAGTTGGGATCCACCGTGCGTGCTCCCTCCTCCTCCTCCTCCTCCTCCTCCTCCTCCTCTCCTCCTCCTCCTCCCCCTCCTCCCTCCTCCTCCTCCTCCCTCCCTCCTCCTCCTCCTACCTCCTCCTCCTCCTCCTCCTCCTCCTCTCCCCTCCTCCTCCTCCCCTCCTCCTCCTCCTCCTCCTCACTCCTCCTCCTCCTCCTCCTCCTCCTCCTCCTCTCTCCTCCCCTCCTCTCCTCTATCCCCTCCCCCTCTCCTCCTCTTCTCCTCCTCTCCTCCTCCTCCTCCTCCTCCTCCTCCTCCTCCTCCTCCTCCTCCTCCTCCTCCTCCTCTTCCTCCCCCCCGTCGTGCGTCCATCGCTTCGGCGGAGGCGCCCAAAGTGCCTGCCTGCGTAAAACAGGCGCAGCAGAGGGAGCTGCAGCCATCGCCCCCCCGCCCCCTATGAAAATTGAGAGGGTGGAGGGAGAAAGGGGCTCGAGGCGTGGGACCCGACCCCCCCCTCAAAAGGGCAATCGATGCGACGGGCCCCCCCGCTCCGGGGCAGCCGGAATACCATCAGAAACCCATGGGGGAGGGCCATGGGCCCCCTTGGGGCCGCTGCAGAGGGCGCCTGGCGCCGCTCGCCGCGGCCGCCCCGTTTCGGGTGTCTGTGTGTGTGTGTAGAGAGAGAGAGAGAGAGAAAAAAAAAAAAAGAAAGAGATAGAAAGAGAGAGAGAGAGAGAGAAAGGGCCCCGCAGGGCTCCGACGGAGACGGGTCAGGGGGCTCGACACGCATCCTCCAGTTGTGGTTGGTCGGCGCGCTAGTCGAGGTCCTCTTCTCGGTCTGAGCAGGCGCACGTGGGCCTGCTCGAGCTCCGAGTCATCGGATCGACGAAGCGGTCCGAGCCTCGCGAGAGAGGACATGGCGATCTGATGCGTGGTTCGCGCAGGGCGCCAGCATGGCACGCCGCGCGGATGCGGTGCTCGCGCGCCACCTTTCAGGGTGCGCGAAGGTCCACCCAGTCGGCCCCGTCTTCTTCCGTCGAGTACACGCGCGCCGCAGCATAGCGATGTCGACTGCGCGACCAATGTCAGTCGACGACGTAGGATGCAGGATGGGCTCCTGGAACAGCTTCGCGCAGAGCCCATCCTGATCGGCAGCGCGCATGGGCGGCCCTTTGCGAGAGTGGCCCTTGGGAGCGCGGCGTTATGGCGGAGAGAGGAGGGGGCGCGCCCGCGCAGTCCAATCGCGGCAGCCACTGCTGGCGGAGCCCCCGCGGGTCCGCACCAAGGGCCACTCTTGCGCGCCGCCGACTTGCGTGACCATGGCCGCCCCGAGCTCCACTTTGGAGGCGTGGTCGCCCCGCGCTGTGGGCCCCCCCCCCGCTGCGTGGCCAACCTGTGGAGGAGGCGTCCGCGGGCCCGCAGGTGGCTGCCCCGCTGGGCGGCGGACTCCCGGCGCTCTGTCGCGAAGGTGTGGAAGGCAGGGGGGCTGGAGGCTCATCCCCTACCCTGCGTCCACGGCCCCAAGACTGGGCCGCGAGCCGCACCAGGTCCCCGAGTTGCCCGTGGGAGGCGGGGGTGGTCTCGCGGCGGCACGCGGGGCTGAAACCCAGCCGCGGGAGGTCAACCCGACCAGTCTGCGACTGGCGCGGCGGCCGCGGCAGCGGTGGGGGGGGGCTGGCGGCGGCGCCGCAGGCGAGGCTGGGGCGGCGACCGCCGTTTCTCCCAGTGAGGGCCTGGCCACTGGGCGCCTCGTCCTGCTGGCCCAAAGGCTTAAGGCTCGTTGGCCAGGGCTGACGAGGGCCCAGACAGGCGAGAACCTCGGGGGACGACGACGACGACGACGACGACGACGACGACGACGACGACGACGACGACGACGACGAGCCTGCAGCCGCTGAACCAGCGACGGCCTGGGCGATTGATTCCTGGACACACTGGCGGGCAGCGGCAGGGCCCAGATCCCCGGGGGATGGGTCGAGGCCTTTGAGGGGGGGTCGGCGCCATGCGAAAAGCATGGCGTCGAGGGTCCTGGGTCTTCAGCGATGCGAGGTGCTCAGTGCGGACCTGGGGTCTCTCGCTGGCTCTTGGAAGTCTTCTCGCCTCGGGCTGCCTATGTTGCCGCAGCCTCGGATCTCAGAGTTAGGGCGAGCCGGACACTGGCAGAGCTGCAGCTTGGAAGGTCATCGTCAGAACGACGAACGGGGAATTGACCAAATCCAAGGGCCACTCAGCAAAACCACCCTGGATTAAAGACCAGGACTGGGCCATACTAAGCGGAACTAAGCGGTACCGTGCCAGACTGAGCCTGTTTTCGACCGCGGGTGTACCAGCGCCGATGTTGGATTGAACCTCCCAGGAGTTGCATCCTAAGGGTCCCAGGCCCCGAACATGTGGCCGTGGTCTTCGGGCGTGCCCTCGGGGTGTCAAGCGCCCCGTCCGCTGTGAAGGGGGCTCCATAATGTGAAAGCAGCCAGGAAGACGAAGACGTTATATTGACAGTTTCCAAAACACGACTCGGGACGAAGAGCTGCTCCTGGGAGAGTCAGGCTAGCGGTACGGCAAGAGAAGACACTGCGCACACATCAACTGCCCGAGGTCCGCGCCGACTTCCTGGGGGTCGACGCTGGACCCCCTAGCGGCGCCTCCTGCGCCGCCCCAGTGCCGACCCAATGCTTTCCTTTACTGTAGGCCCCGTACCTTCCCCCAGGGCCAGCTCTGTTCGACGACGACATGGGAGCGACGAAAGCCTCTGAACGTTCCAGGTAGGCTGCGATAGACTAGACCACGCTGGGCGTCCCCGCCCACCCCGACGGACACAGAAGCCTCGGCCGACATGTCGGGAACGCCTAGCAAAAGAGTATACAGTAGTGCTCGTCGCTGCAGCGGCCCTCCCGCGGTCGAGGGGGTGCTGCCCGAGTCGTTTTGTGGACGGCCCCGGGGCCCGTGAACCGCCCTGGGTAGCCCCAGGGCGTCGGAGCGTCCCAGGACGCGCTGCCTGCAAGACCGCTTTCCAGACATCCCACGCTGGAAGTTGTTCCATCCCCGGTCCCACGGAGGTCCCGACCTCTTCCTCGGGGGTAGCTATTCGTCGCAGGTAGATGTTTGATGGTCCCGTGGGCAAAGAGCCCGATAAACAGGCTCCAGGGGCCGAACTCTGGGCACAACTGAAAGCTTGAAACACGTGCAAGTCGCCGCGACCCGTTGTAGATAAAGCCGGCACCGCGGCAAACCCACGACAGACTCTGCGACCTAGGCGGAGTTTGCCATGGTGGCCGAAGCGCGATCTCCAAGACGTAAGCCCGCGCGAGTCCGCGCGTCGGAACCAACGGCGCGGCGACGGCGCGTGAGGTGGAGGAGGAGGAGGAGGAGGAGGAGGAGGAGGAGGTGGAGGAGGGAGGAGGTGAAAGGAGGAATAAGGATAGGAGGAGCAGGAGGAGGGGGAGGGGGAGGAGGAGGAGGAGGAGTAAAAAAGGAGGATTGAGGAGGAGGAGGAGGAACTGAGGAGGAGGAGGAGGAGGAGGAGGAGGAGGAGGAGGAGGAGGAGGGGGAGGGGGCGGAGGAGGTCTCAGTTTCCTCCACGGTGCCGCCTCCAGCGGCCCCGGCGCGTGGACGCCCACCACGTACGCGGCCCACCTGAGGAGGAACGTTACGCGGGCCGGCTCATGGGGAGGAACCATCGACCTCGGAATCGGCGATACATCAACGATAGATCGGCGATATGCCTGCGATAGCGAAGGCGCATGCTCCTGGGCAGGGTTGGCTACCAGGCGCCTATCGGCGATGAGTGGGCGGTTGGGGGTCGACACAGGACATCTGAAGTCTTGATTTGTTCAAGACGGCGTCTCCAGGAATCCCGACCCTTCCTCCAAGGCCCGTTTTCATATCGGGGAGTTCTTTGACGCTCCTGGGGCCCGCCGAAGACGCTGAGAGGCCGAAAACGGTCAAAACCATCCGCCGTGATCTTTTTGCGTCGCAAGCATGTCCGAGGATGCATCCCCCTCCTGAGCCTGCTGTTTCGCCTGGGCACCGAAACTATCTGGAATAGACCTGGTCTGGGTAGGACCCTGTTTGGTGTTTCCAACTTTGATCCCCGAAAACACTGCAGCCACCACTTGATCTGGGATGAATCCTGCTTCAAGAGAGTGCTAGGCAGTATCTGCATTGGGCAGACTGAGCAACTCCGGCGCCAAACGGGAGGCCCGAACCGGGAGTTACCCCTGACCGCCCCCTGCCCTGATAACTCGGGGCTGTGAGACGGGAACGGCGCCCATGCACCGTGGCATGCCCGGACTCCCCTGAGGCCTCGCTCCGACGCGGCACGGCCCATCGCTTTCTGGCCCCGAGGGCCGGCGAATCGTGCACCGTAGCATGGCCGTGTCGAGGACCGACGGCGCCTCGAGAGACGTCAACACGCCTCGGTGTGTACGGGTCGCCCGCGGATCGGAGACTTCGGGGCGCCCACAACCGCACGGTGACGGACCGCGTGGTGACCTCGGAATCCACAACGGCCCCACCGGGCGGTCCGTCACCGCACGGTTTGGGGACCTCGGACGCCCCAGTCGTTCCAGACATCCTCGGAGCACGACCCGAGTCCCAAAAACGAATGGTGATGCCGAGTCCCCACTGACTCACCACGCGGTGTGGTAACCACACCGTTTGGGGGCCCCCGAGGAACGTGGCCCAGCGACGTCAGTGATGCATCGGCGACGTCGGCGATGCATCGGCGACGTCGGCGTGGGGATGAAATTTGGCACCACATCGAGCCGCGTCGCCGATGCATCGGCAATAGGGCGCGATCCTCCGACCCCATCGACTCCGACCACGTCTGAGAGGTCTGGATCCCAGACCCCCGAAGTCATAACTATCTACTCATAACGTCGACCCCAGCGGTCTCGACCCATTCCCCTGGGACTGGCTCTTCATCCCGAGTCGGGCTTTGACGGTCCCGAGGCACGGTGAGAGCCCCGATAGGCCAACGGCACAGAGAGAACACCTCCCGTCGCGATGTGTGCCATGATCTGAGGGGAGCAAACCTCGAGGAGGGCAGATCATGCGTTTAAGCAAGGTGTTGTGACACTGGGAGATTCGACTCGTTGCTGATCGTGTGCTGTGAAGACTGCCTACACAATGCGTGAGGGCTGGCCGCTCACCTCTGTCCAGGGCCCTCGAACGCTTCTGGAGGCTAACTTTGCGATTGGTCAGCAGTTGCCCCCGACCACCGGCCGTCGCGATGTGTGCCATGACTTGGGGAGGGGGAGGGGGAGGAGGAGGGGAGGGGGAGGGGGAGGGGCGGAGGGGGAGGAGGAGGAGGAGGAGGAGGAGGAGGAGGAGGAGGAGGAGGAGGAGGAGGAGGAGGAGGAGGAGGAGGAGGAGGAGGAGGAGGGGGAGGAGGAGGAGCAAACGTTGCCCCCGACCACCGGCCGTTGCCCCCCTCCGGCGTCGCCCGCCACAGCAGCGGCTGGGCGCCGCCAGCGCAGGCCGCGGCGCCGCACACCGCCGCGGCGCCCAGCAGCAGCAGCAGCACCGGCCGCGCCCGCGGGCGCGCCGCCATGGCCGGCCGGAGGCGGAGGTGCGGCCGGTGGCCTGCGGCCGGCCTGGCAGGGCCTGGGAGTGGAGGAGGCGCGGCGAGCGGAAGAGCTTCGGTGTGAGAACGGGGAGGGGAGGGACGGGGAGGAGGAGGAGGAGGAGAGGAGGAGGAGGAGGAGGAGGAGGAGAGGAGGAGGAGTCGGAGGAGGAGGATCCGTAGCCTTTTTGGCCCATGCCTATCCGTAGGCCCCCCCGCTCCTGGACCTTGTCCCCTGGCGTGCCCTGCTGCCCCAGCCAGATCGGGGGCAGCGCGGCGGGCGCAGGGGGACCTGGGGGGGCGGGGCTCTTGGCCCACAGAGCATGGTGGACTGCGGCGGGCTGCCAGCTGTCCGGCGGCCCAGCGCCCTCCGCCTCCTCGAGGGCGGCGCCCTGGGGCGGCCAGCGGCTCGCCGCGCCGCGCGCGCGGCAGGCGCCCTTGCGGCTCTGGAGAGGCGCGGAGCCAGAGGGAGCGGGGACCGTTCCCCCCCCCTTGGCTCGCGGCAGCATCGCGAGCGTGGGGCGCGGCCTGCGCTGCGGCTCCTGTCTGGAGGGGCGGCGCGTGCCGGGCGGCACGCGCGCGAGCGGCGGAGCGCCTCGTGGCATGCCCAGCGGGTGCCCGCCGGGGGGCTCCGCAGGTACCACCGCCGACGCGCCTGCCTGGGCGGCGTCTGGCCCCAAGTTGGCGCTGCAGCGCTCCTGCCTTCCGTCCGCGAGCTCCTGCCAGGCTTGGGTGGCGCCCCTCTTTCGATGCTGCCGCCCATGCCGCGTGGCGCGCGGAGGACCTGGAGGCCCTGCTGGTCATCGGCGGCGGCGTGGAGCGCGTGCTCAATGCGGCCGCCGAGGAGTTTGTTCCCTCGGCCGCCCGCTGTTGTGAGCCTCCCCGCGTGACGACGGTAGTGGGCGCACGGAGCACATGCGGTGCCGTCGTGTTCGCGGGCATGCAGCACACCGTGGCGCCCTGCGACACCTACGAGGCAGTTGGCGAGGAAGGCGGCACGGCTTTCGGCTCGGCGTACGACGTGGCTTTCCGACCTCCCCCTCGGCCTCGTCCTGGACAACTCAGCCCTGCAGCTGGCCTAGATGAGGCCGACGCGACGGTGCTCGCCGAGACGGCCTTTTGTCGCGAGCGGGACGATGAGTCTCGGGCTTTGGCGCTCTCCTGCGCGGTGTGGGCCGCGCGTGGAAATCCGCGACCTCCCCTTCGCCTCCGTGAACGGCTCGATCGGCAAGCGGCACAAGGACAAGTCGGTGAGGCCGTGGCGCCAGTGCAGGCTGCTGCTGGGAAGGCTCCCGCCGTGGGGTCCCGCCCCCCCCCCACGGCGGTCGCCTCTGAGGATGGGTGCGCTGATCGCTGGGCTGTGCCGAGCGCCGACTGCAGCATCAGAGATTCGCTGTGGCAGCTCGGGGAGGCCATTTCTGCGGCGGCTACGGCGGCGCCCCGTGCCCCGCCACCCGCCGAGCAGCCCCCGATTGCCGGCCACAGTAGCTGGGCCAGACATCTCAGTGCGCGTGGCAGTGCATTTCCTCCTCATCCACGCTGTCCGCGACTCGTTGATGTTCTGAGGCCAAAGTTTGGCTTTCAGCCGTTCGTTGGTCGTAGCAGACTCTGCTGCGCCCAATGTCTTGCGTAGGAGGATGAGGAGGACGAGGAAGAGGAGGAGGAGGAGGAGAAGAAGGAGGAGGACGCGGAGGAGGAGGAGGAGGAGAGGAAGGAGGACGAGGTGAAAGAGGAGAGGAAGGAGGAGGAGGAGGAGGAGGAGGAGGAGGAGGAGGAGGAGGAGAGGGAGGAGGAAGAGGATGAGGAGAAGGAGGACGGAGAGGAAGAGGACGTGGAGGAAGAGGAAGAAGAAGAAAGGGAGGAGGAGGAGGACGAAGTGGAGGAATTGCTTCAACAGTTTCTGTGCTCTCGCCGTAAGGGAGGAAGGGGCAGAGGGCGGAGAGGAGGAGGAGGAGGAGGAGGAGGAGGAGGAGGAGGAGGACGATGACGACCAGTGTAAACCCAAGAGTCATCAACGATGTTGGCATACACCCTCTTTCTAAGCTCCTTGTTCATAGGCTCTTACAAGGGTTCATATTCATTGAGGAAACTGCCTTGTTGGCAGAGAGTCGTCAGAAGACCCAGACGTATGCCAAAACATTCTTCTCGGGACTCCAACGCCACGGATCAACCTGATTGCTGCGTCTGGACGATCCTGAATCGTGCAAAAACGCCATTATTGGGTTTCAACACACCGAATGAACGCAAATGTTTGAATGTTGAATCCTCATAATCCGAAAGCGTTCTCGAACACCATGTGTGGTACGCTGGCCATGGGAATCTGTGAAACCCTTGCAAATGCTTACGACAGATCGTGCTCGGCGCTAAAGCGAGAGCCACATTTAGAGGGCGCACCGCCCTCGATATGTGAAAAGTTTGCAAGTTTTGAAATAAATGCGCGCGGCGCTCCACGTTTTGAAAACCACCCGCCCTCAATCGGTGAAGCTCTTGCCATTGTTTAAAACGAATGTGCGCGGAACTAAGGCGAGAACCACATGTTGAAAACCACCCGCCCTCAATCCGTGATCCTCTTGCAATGTTTTGGAGAACGAATGTGCGCGACGCTAGGGCGAGAGCCACATTTGGAAAACCATGCGCCCTCCATCTGTGAAGCTGTTGCCGATGTTTTAGCTTCAAGGTCGTAGATGGTGAGGAAGTCTCATGCGACCCGCCCCTTCGACCGGCATCGGGGTGCGACAGGGAGAAAGTATCTATAATGAAAAAGACTGGAGGAGGAGGAGGAAGAGGAGGAGGAGGAGGAGGAGGAGGAGTAGAAGGAGGAGGTGGAGGAGGAGGATTACCGTATATAGCGAACGTTCTCCATGATTTTTGGATGAGGATAAGGGTCACAACAGGATGGCGCGACCTAAGGCTTGGAGCCGCTCACACCTGGCCTGGCGGGGGACGAAGGGAGGAGCGGGCGGCAGGGCGGAGGCGAGGTGGCGCCTAATGGAGGAGAAGGAGGAGGAGGAGGAGGAGGAGGAGGAGGAACATGTCCAGAGTGAACCCTAGATGCATCAACGATGCTGCTGTGCACCATCCCTTCCCGAGTCTCTTTCTCATAGGTCCTACATTCCTCCCATGCCCTAAGAAATCCCCATACATAACACCCTCTGGGCCTTCCATTCAAGCGAAAATCCCGTTTCGAAAATGAACTGTCTTGTACACTTCCAGCGACTAATACATACGGAACGCTCGAAGGTATGATCACACAGATGTGTCGAGCGAGATTCATGGTTTGAAACAAAACCGTTTCCGTCCCCCGCTTGAAAAAAACAGTTGAACTCTCGCACAAATTGTCACTTCTAGCCGTGAGCGCTCTCTAGCGAAAACTCCATGTTGAAAAGGAACCCTGGCCTCCATGCGCATCGGCATTGCGGTAAGCTGCCCGCCTTTTGGTCCACGCCTTGCCTGGCAGCCGGCCTGTCATAAAGGCACCGCGGGCGCTGACCATTCTGCACCAACGTGCCTTCAGCTCTGCTTTTCTCCGACCAGCAGTTCAATAAAATTTCTAGCGGGCGCCGAACCGCACTTTATCTGCGCAGCTGTTGCATATGCTCAAGCTCCTGGACTTCTGAATCGAAGAAAAGTCCAGACAAAGCCTTTTTGTGAAAAGGAGCCGTCCACAGTACTTGCAACTGCTTCACTGTTTTCAAAGACTGTGTGCGGCGCCAAAGCGAGAGGCCAATGTTACATGTTGAAAAGGAACGGCCCTCAATACTTGAAGCTGCTGAAAACGTTTGAAACGAAGGTGCGCGTGGCTAAGACGAGAGCACAATCTTGAAAATGCCACCTCCCATCCTTGAAGCTGTGGCGAATTTCAAGCTTCATGATGATGAATGGGGAAGATGTCTCTGGCGAAACGCCCGGCCCGCCCTACCAACACGTCTGCGGTGTGACAGAAATGAGCTGCCCAACATCCTTTACTGCGGCCCTCTGTTCTCCTTCGGGCTGGAGCCTGGGATCCTCAGTGCCGTATCTGATTATTCGAAGTAGTCCGCCCAAAAGTTCACCCCACACCCCGGGAACCCCACAGATCCACGTGACACTTCCGCACGCATCTTTCCTTCCTTCCTCTTCCTCCTCGCCGCCCTCCTTCGTGCTCCATCCTTCTCCTCCTCCTCCTCCTCCTCCTCCTGGTCCTGCTCTTGCTGCTACTCCTCCTCATCATCATTCCTCTTACACAGCCACCTACCTATATATACATATATATATATATATATATATAGATTAGAGACACGCGCGCGCTTCGCGCGCTTAGGTTCTGTCGAGTCACAGACCCAGGAATCGTTGCGAGAAGAAATTGGTGACGCGAAGCGTCTTGGGGGCGTCCTTGGACGTCTGGGGTCTCCTGGGGCCTCTTGAGGGGCCTCCTGGGGGCCTCCTGGCGGCCTCTTGGGGCGGAAGGCTCGAGCTTGCGGTTCGTGGTCCCCCTCTGGGCCCCCTCTTGGGCCCGTCTTGGGGCCCTCTTGGGCCATCTTGGGCGCCTCTTGGGCCGTCTTGGGGCCCTCTTGGGCTGTCCTGGGGCCCTCTGGGAAACTTCTTGGGCCGTCTTGGGGCGGTCTTGGGCGCCTCTTGGGCCGTCCTGTAACGTCGGAAAGCCCAAAAGGCGACTTTGTTAAAAATGTACGTTTTACGAAGGGAATGGGCCAATTCTTGCGTCTAGGGGCCCTCTTGGGACGCATGTTGGAGGCTTCTTGGAGCCTCTTGGGGGCGTCCTTGGACGTCTGGGGTCTCCTGGGGCCTCTTGAGGGGCCTCCTGGGGGCCTCCTGGCGGCCTCTTGGGGCGGAAGGCTCGAGCTTGCGGTTCGTGGTCCCCCTCTGGGCCCCCTCTTGGGCCCGTCTTGGGGCCCTCTTGGGCCATCTTGGGCGCCTCTTGGGCCGTCTTGGGGCCCTCTTGGGCTGTCCTGGGGCCCTCTTGGAAGCTTCTTGGGCCGTCTTGGGGCGGTCTTGGGCGCCTCTTGGGCCGTCCTGTAACGTCGGAAAGCCCAAAAGACGACTTTGTTGAAAATGTACGTTTTACGAAGGGAATGGGCCAATTTTTGCGTCTAGGGGCCCTCTTGGGACGCATGTTGGAGGCTTCTTGGGGCCTCTTGGGGGCGTCCTTGGACGTCTGGAGGCCATCTTCAGCATCTCGGAGCCCTCTTGGAGGCCTCTTGGAAGTTTCTTGGGCCGTCTTGGGCGCTTCTTGGGCCGTCTTGTCTGACTGGGGAGGCCTCCGGCAAGCCCCGACGAGCCTCCGGGCCCCCCGGGGCGCACATTTGTGGTCGGGGTCCCGGCCCCGGGCCCCCGGACCCGGTGCGCCGTTATATGTGTATATATCCCTCTCGTTCTCCGATTTTTCTGGTGAGGCATGGACTGAGGGCGAGAGCCGTTGGAAGGTGAGAGGGATGACGTGGGGGGCACACCGAAAGAAGAAAAAGGCCAGCTGATTCTCGTCTCCCTATCCCTTCCCCCGCTCAGGAAGCTGAGGCCATGGAAGGCCCGCCGAACGCATCTGAAAGTCCACTCCAACTCCTCCTCCTCGCTCTCGTCCTCCTCGCTCTCGTCCTCCTCCTCCTCCTCCTCCTCCTCCTCCTCCTCGTCCTCCTCCTCCTCCTCCTCCTCCTCCTCCTCCTCGTACCTTCCTGTCCTCCGCCCTGCTCCTCCTCCTCCTCCTCCACCACCTCCTCCTCCTCGTACCTTCCTGTCCTCCGCCTGCTCCTCCTCCTCCAACACTCCTCCTCCTCCTTTTCTCCCCCCTCCTCAGTTCTTTGTCTCCTCCTCCTCCTCCTCCTCCTCCTCCTCCTCCTCCTCCTCCTCCTCCTCCTCCTCCTCCTCCTCCTCCTCCGGTTTCTCCCTCCTCCTCCTTCCTCTTCGTCGTCGTCGTCCTCCTCCTCCTCCTCCACCTCCTCCTCTTTCTCCTCCATGTTGGGACAGGAAGGAGGAGGTTGGGGGAGCAGAGGAGGGAGGAGCGGGGCGGATAAGGGAGGAGGAGAGGTAGGAGGAGGGCGGATAAGGGAGGAGGCGTGAGAGTGGACGAGGAGGAGAGGTGAGGAGGGACGGGATGCAGCGCGGGCGCGGCCGCAAGACACACAATCGCAAGAAACACAGCCCCGAAACCTGCAGGCGCGAGATGCAGGTGGGGGGGAGCCCAGAGCACCCTGAGCGCAGCAGCTCCTTAAGCGGCCACGGGAAGCCACAGCGCAGCGTGCGGGGCGAAGAAACCCAGGGCACCCTGACGAAGAGCAGTCAGTTTCGTGGTGCGTGCCCCCACTAGGGGCAGGAACGAGGAGGAACTAGGAGGAAGGGAAAAGGAAGGAGGGAAGAAGGAGCGAGGCGTTGGGAAGAGTGAGCAGGGCAGAGGGGGGTCGGAGGAAGAAGGGAGGAGAAACCGCAACATAACCAGCAGGGTAACGACGACGAGGAGGTGGAGGACCTGGGCGAAGACGAGGAGGAAACGAAGGTGGACGAGAAAGGAGTGAGAGGTTGAGGAGGTGGAGGAGGATGAGAGGGAGGCGGAGGAGGAGGAGGAGAAGGAGGAGGAGGAGGAACAGGAGGAGGAACAGGAGGAGGAGGAACAGGAGGAGGAGGAGGAGGGGGAGGAAGAGAAGGAGAAGGAGGATGAGCTGGAGAACGAGGAGGCGGAGCGTGCCTGGACGACGACGATAACGGACAGGACAGGACGACGATTAAGACCACGACGATTGCCCAATGTTTCCCAGATGTTCGTCTTCACCCCCCCCCCACACACACTTCCCATTCTTCCCTATATTGTTGCACTCCTCACGCCCTCCGCCTCCTGCTATCTCCTGCTGCTGCTCGCCACCCTCCTGCTGGAGCTCATCGTGCGCAGTTTCTGTCCTCATCGCCATCACGCCTCCTCGTCTTCGGTTTCTCCTCGTGGCTTTCGTCCTGCTCGCAGTCTGGACACTTCTCCCAGTCCCTGCTCCCGCCCTGCCTCTTCCTCCACCTCCCCCCCTCGCCAGAGACTCGAACCATACCAACAAAGCCTCAGGACCCGCACCCGAGCATACCATTCAGGACCACCACCGTCGAAGCAACTCGCGATTCTCCCCTGGAAGAGTCTGGGGGCCAACCATATAAACATCTAGGAACCCCTTCACAAACAAGAGCAGCAGCAACCTCCAGCCGTCTCCCCCGCCCCCCCCTCCCCGCCAGCCTCGACGCTTGTCCCCCTTCCCCCCTCCCCCCTTGCGCCTTGATGACAAGATTATCCAACTCCTTCGTCATGTTCACTCCGGTCATGCCCAGAAACAGGACGAAGGGCATCACGTCAGCCGGGTCGAGGCTCATCAGTGAGTGGGCCTGAACGGCCTGGGAGGGGGGGGCTCTCCTGGAGATCGAAGGACAATGGAGGAGAGGAAAAACAGAGGAACAGAAGGAGCAGGAGGGCACGACTGAGCAACAGGGCAGTCAGGAGGAGACGGCAGCGTAGCAGCAAAGCGCCAGAGCGGCGTCAGCCTCCAGCCGAGCCGAGGCGAAGGCAGGCGGTCGCCACCGTGCCTGCTCGAGGGCGTTGCGGATGCACTGGATGGAGACGAGGAATCCAGCCGCGTCCACCCCGAACTCCGCACCGGCCTTAGAACACTCCCGTGGCGGCTCCATTTCCCATGCTACTCATCCTCACCCCTCTACGAACAGTAGGCACAGACGATACATTCAACTGTAAGAGATCTAGAGGCACACTCGGCGTCCGTGTTGGAGTGTCCTGATGCCCAGAGCCACCGGGGGAACATGCACTGCCGCGATGCACCTGCACGCAGGCTGGTGTCTTACTGGAGGTGCCCGCTGCCGCCAGCCAAGATTGGCAAGGCCCAGGCTTGCGCACATAAGCTGGCCATCGCTCGGACGTCCATTCCCTGTGTTATTGTTCGGTTTCGTGCGTGGTTTTTTCGCCAAATGATCAAGGATGCTCCTCGATGGCCTCGCCGAAGTAAAAAAAAAAAAAAAAACGTCCGAGCGATGCCAAGTAAGGTGCAGCAGTCCATGCTTGCCTCACCTTGCCCCCAGGCCAGCCCAGGCGGTCCACACACGCAGCGTCACCCCTGGCGGCCTCCCCTCACTCCTGACCCTTTTTGCGCCCCAGACTGCCCCAGGCTCACTGGGGGACTGTTGAGGCCAGCTGGGGCCGCCGGGGCCCTCTCTGCGCAACTCTATGCCCGCTCGCCCCTCTGGCTCGAACCCTCCGTGTGCTGAGCAGCTCAGGCTTCGCGCTCTTAGTCACATTGTTGAGCGATGGGACAGCCTCCTCGTGGACGTGGCTTGCCTTCCGCCCGCCGCTCGTGGCGTCCGACCAGCGGAGAGGTGGCAGTGCTGGCGCTCTGGAGCACCGAGGATGGCCTCCCTTATCGAGTCGGCGTGCCTTCTGGTGCGTGCAGGCTGCTGCGCGCGGAGCGGCGCGAACGGCTGCGGGGTGGGGGAACCAAAGGAGAACGCCCACCACGACTATGCAGGGCGCTCCCGGCGGCCGACTTGAAGGGGATCGCGGGGCCAAGGGCGCAGCAGCCCGCGCCCCGGCCGACCAGCTGGACAAACTGGGTGGCCGACGCGGAAGTGGCAGCGCTCAGAGTGGAGCCTGCCGACAGGCACAGCTAGAGGTCTCATAGATGGGGTCCGAGTAGGTGGAGTCTGAGGGTCGGCGAGGCATCCCCGATGCATCGGCGACGCCAGTGATGCATCGGCGCCGTCGATGTGGGCCAAAATCAGGCCCCATATCGAGCCGCATCGCCGATGCATCGGTGATAGGGCGCGATCCTCTGGCTCCATCTACTCGGACTCCATCTGGGAGGCCTGGACTTTGACACGGCGCTCACAAGGCTGGCTGCGCAGCACGGCAAGCTCGCCAAGCAGCAACAGCAGCAGCAGCAGCAGCAGCAGCAGCAGCAGCAGCAGCAGCGGCAGCCGTGAGCGCTTGGGGAACACCGACCCAATCGTCTCCAGCAGCAGCCGGCGCCCGCGCCGCAGGGAACATAGCCGAGCAGGGCTGCAGAGCTCGAGGCGGCCCGCGCGGCGCATCCGCGCAACTCGCAGGCTGGCTGCCGCACCGCCGCACCTGCCGCGCAGCGGCGGAGGCCGAGACATAAAAACACCAGCGGCAACCAACACACAGCAGACCAACAGCGTCCCACAGCAACAACGTGGTTTTCGCTCCAAAGGCCATCTCCAGCGTCGACTAGAGCTCAATTGATGATGCTTTCTTGATTTTCGGGGTCCAGGGGCCCTTACCGGGCCCTGGGACCGTCAACAGAACGACTCGGGATGAGAAACACTGGCCTTGGGGGCATGGTCGGGACTTCAAGGGGACCGCGCAGAACAACAAAAACCAAGACAGGCGTCGGGGGAACGTGAAAGGCCGGCTTGGCGCTGCAAGGCTTGCTCTTTCGACCAGTGGGGCCCAGGCATCCGATGTCTTGACGCCTTCGATGCGGGATTCCCGGAGGTCCCGACCCTCTCCCCAAGCTGGTGTTTCCTCCCGCTTCGCTCTTCGACGGCCCCATGGTCCCGGCAACGGCCTCCCAAGGCCGAAAGCGGCTACAACCGTCCGTCGTGAGTTCTCCACGACGCGAGCATGTCTGGCCCTCGGGCCATGACTGGGGCCTGCACCCCGGGAGCGCCCTCGACAAGGCGCAGCTGATGGAACCCCCCCCTGCGTCAAAGAGCACCGGAAGTTCAACCAATTGGGCACACCGATCCTGGGGCCGAGATCGGTCGGGCCAGGACTGGCGTGCACTACGGAGGCGTGCAGGTGGCGCCCGCTGGAGGTCTTCCGCTCCTTCGTCGCTGTTCCTGCTCACGGCGGAGAGCATGTCTGGGAAGCGAGCGAGTGCGCGCGCCTCCGCGAGCCTTCAGATGGTGTGGTGACCACGCTGCGGGGCGAGTCCGCGGGGATTCGGGGTCGCCGCACTGCTTGGGGACCTCAAAGTCCTTCGCCGAGGACATGTCGGGCGAGCGGGGCCGCCGGGGCCCCAAGACCGTGCGGTGACGGACAGCGCGGTGAGGTCGATGGGGGCTCCGAAGTCCCCACCCCAGACATTTGGGCGTGGCTTCATGGGGGGGTAATAAATGGGGGGGTCAGAAACGGTCCCCTTTCGTGCCCCTTTCGGGCCCCTCCGGACCCCCAGGGGGCTCGTTTAGGTACCGTTTGGGTACCTTTTCGGACCACCCTCGCCACCCCCCCATTTATGACCCCTCCATTACGCAACGCCCAAGACATGCGATGCCCTACTTTTTCCATGCGCGGTCCCTGCAAGCCCCGACCCTTACCCCAGGCCTGGCGGGCTCGGCTTCTCGTCCTGAGTCTTGCTGTTGACGGCCACGAGGCCCGGCGAGGGCTCCTGGGAGGTCGAAGACGGCCAGAAACCTGCCGTCCTGATTTTGCCCACGACGCGAGCATGCCTGGGACACGGTCAGCCACCAGACGGTTCAGGGGCCCCCGGCGAGCGCGCGGCACCGCCCACTGGGGCTCCGCCCAGGGCCTCTCGGAGGGGTGCGCGGCGCGCTGCGCCGCGCGCAGCTGGACGCGGCCGGCAGGACCGTGCCGCGACGACCCGAGGGCTGACATCGAGTGGATCCGTGCAGCCTCGAGCGACCGCGGGTTGTCCCGAGCGCGCAGATCGTTCGATGCCGGCGAGGTCTGGTGGGGCGTGCCCCGCAGGGCTCCGCCTGGAGCACCTCGGAAGGCTGCGCGGCGCAGCTGCGACGCCGCCCCTGCGACATGCACGCGTCCGAGTCCCCCATCCTCCTCCTCCTCCTCCTCCTCCTCCTCCTCCTCCCCCTCCTCCTCCTCCGCCTCCTCCTCCTCCTCCTCCTAATCCTCCTCCTCCCTCCTTCGAGCTTCGAGCGTCGGGTACTGTCGAGTCCTCCTAGATTCCTCCCTTTCCTCCTCCTCCTCCTCCTCCTCCTCCTCCTCCGCTCCTCCGCATCCTCCTTCCTCCTCCTCCCCTCTTCGTCCTCCTCATCCTCCTCCCCCTCCTCCGACCACGCCCAACTCCCCCCTCACCCTCCCTGTCCCCTCCTCCTCGTCATCCTCCCTCCTCCTGCTCCTGCTCCTGCTCCTCCTCCTCCTCCTCCTCCTCCCTCCTGCTCCTGCTCCTCCTCCTCACCTCCGCCTCCTCCTCTCCTCCTCCTCCTCCTCCTCTCTCCTCCCTCCTCCTCCTCCTCCTCCTCCTCCTCCTCCTCTCTCTCTCTCCTCTCTTCTCCTCCCCTCCTCCTCCTCATCCTCCTCCTCCTCCTCCTCCTCCTCCTTCCTCCTCCTCCTCCTCCTCCTCCTCCTCCTCCCTCCTCCTCCTATCCTCCTCCTCCTCCTCCCTCCTCCTCCTCCTCCTCCTCCTCTCCTCCTCCTCTCTCCTCCTCCTCCTCTCCTCCTCCTCCTCCTCCTCCTCCTCCTCCCTTCCTCCTCCTCCTCCTCTCTCCTCCGCCTCCTCCTCCTCTCCGTTCTCCCCGTCCCTTCCCCCCCCCTGGATCCCGTCCGCTCCTCATCCCCCTCCTCCTCCTCCTCCTCCTCCTCCTCCTCCTCCTCCCTCTCTCCTCCTCCTCCTCCTCCTCATCCTCCTCCTCCTCCTCCTCCTCCTCCTCCTCATCCTCCCCTCCTTCGAGCGTCGAGCTTCAAGCTTTGGGTACTGTCGAGTCCTCCTCTTTTCCTCCCCTTTCCTCCTCCTCTGCCTCCTCCTCTCTTCCTCCTCATCATCCTCCTCATCCTCCTCGGTAGGGTCCGAGCAGGTGGAGTCGGAGGATCGCGCCATCGCCCATGTACCAGCGACGTTGGGGCTGGTGTAGATCAAATCGGGCCCCACATCGAGCCGCATCGCAGATGCACCGGAAACGCGGCGCGCTCCTCCGACCCCATCTACTCGGACCCATCTGGGAGGCCTAGAGTTAGGTCGGGCATGTGGAAGAAAAATGGAAATAGTCAAACAATGCTCAACATAGCCAACAAAATCGACGCATCGTCCTCCGACTATTTTAACTATTATCGTTGGATATTCATTCTTCCTGTAGAGGGACATGCCCGACTGAAACCTAGAGGCCCGCGGGGCTCCGGGGCGGCCGAGGCGGACGGGCTACTCCGCGCAGGGCACAGGGCAACCGCGTGCGAGGCCCTGGCGTCTTGAGCGCGAGGCGGCATCGGGTGCCTGGGCCTGGAACGGCGGCCGCTTGGGCGCGGCGCCAGGATCAGTCAGCAGCGAACCAGGGCATCAACATCATCAGCATCATCATCATCATCATCATCATCATCATCACCATCAGCAGCATCAGCAGCATCAGCAGCATCAGCAGCATCAGCATCAGCATCA